GGGGTTCTCTCATTCCCTCACCTCTCACCTTCAGCCGTTCGGTTTCAAGGCCTCACCTCTCACTCCGTTCGAAATTCGTAAATGACACAGCTTATCGGACGAATTTTCTCTGGCACCAGGTACTGCAATCTCCTCCTACTTCGCCACTTCCCGCCACCACCTCCTCTGAGTCAGTGAGTCCCTGACCCAACCCGCCCTCTCTAATATTTTGAATTTTTGTGTTCTTTCCTTTAAACTTTGATTAAACGCATCAGTAATGACAGAGTTGTAAATTTGATTCAATTTGGTACGAGTTTGAATAAAGGAGGGCGATTTTTAGCCAAATTTATAAATTTGATATGTAGGGTTTGAGTCAAGGATTAGAGATACCATGTAGAATTGTTTGGAAATTGTTTGTTTACATTTGTATTGGATGCATGCTTGCTTGCATTGTATATTGTTGTACGTATATGTTAAATATGTTTGGTTTGGTTTGGGGGTTACTTTTTGCAGAACTAAAAATGGAGCAGAGACTGGCTAATACCTTGAGGATGACTGTTAATGAGAAGAAGTTCATCGAGACTGCTTTACTATCGGGCTACCTTTGTTCTTTGATGCTTCAGCATTTTTCGATTACTCATAAAAGCAATTCCTTATAAACTAAAAGTTGTATGTTAGTCAGGCCTATTATCCATTTAAATATCCTATTTTATTCATTCACATATGTTCTTTAAATTTAAGATTAGTTTACTATTCCCTTATTTGCAAGTAGCAACTATGTTAACTTTTTAATTATTCGTAGTTGTTTTAGTTGATACTGTTGTACAAAATTGAAAATTCAGACTTCATCCTTGGTGCATGACCTAGTCACATGTATATATTCGAAAATAGTACACGCATGAATGCATGTTCGACATGTGGCTCTGTGCATCTGATGAGTATCAGATTGTCAACTTTATGTTGGACATGGACATGGCATCATAATAGGAAGGAGGTGTGTTTGTGCTTTGTAGTCAAGAAGTTCAAATGACATGAGAGTTTGAGACGCATTTTGTATTACTTGGATTCCTTTGAATTTGTGAAGTACCATTTGACACTCGATTTAGGATATGAGATTTGTGTGATTGTGTCCTACATGTTTGGTTAGACATGTATCCAAGAAATACGCTCAAGTAATAGTTTAGTATAAATTTATACATAAGACCCCCATTCTATGTATAAAAAGTTCCATATTCATTTTGTAAACATCATGTAACATATTCTTGAACATGTCCGCAATTGACACCCGTACTCGAATCCATGTAAATACGATGCGGTTATTTGAACTTTGAAAATTTGACACATTTGTATATTGATTGGGAAAAGATGATGGAAAGGGTGTTGTATTTGTTGGAAAATTGGTTTATATATAAGGCATATTTTGGGCCAACTTTGAGCCCAAAATTGAGTGGGCTCCAAACGTCTTTTGGGATGAGTCCGAAAAGGTGACGTGTTCCTTGCCACGTGGCAAGTCACACGGTGAAGACGGAACGTCAAAACCATTTATGAGTGAATGAGAAGTTGACGTTGTTTTCGGGTTTAACATTAATTTTTTAGATAAAATTCATTTGGTTTTTTTTTTTCAATAAAAAATTATTGTGGGAATTTAATTTAATTCTAAATTCAAGTTTTGGGTTCCTAAGTGGTTTCTTAAAATTTGTAATTGTGGGAATTTAATTTAATTCTAAATTCAAATTTTAGGTTCCTTAGAAGTTTCCTAAAGTTTGTACCTCTTTATTTATTTATTTATTTAACTATTTCAATAGTTTAATATATATATATATATATATATTTGAAATAGGTTAAATAATAAATAAACCTATTGTCCCTTTGTTTGATCAACAGAATCTTTCAATTTTGTTTTCAAAGTGCCTACGGTCAAAACCACTATTCAAATTTGAATAGTAAATGGTGCACCTGTTCATAGGTTTTGTGCACCTTTTCACAATTGTTTTTGGACCTGTTCACGGCAGTGTTGTTGCCTATATATACTGCCATAATTCCAGTTATTAAGGCCCCGAAAAAATCAGTCTAGACATTGTCTAATTTCTGTCCAATTTGTTTTCTTCGTATTATTTATTCTTCATATTAGATTTAGGATAAATTAAAGAGAGTAGAAGGATATGCTTTGTCACAATCTCATTACATTGAGAAAATACTTGACAAATTCAGCAAAGATGATGATCATCTTGCTAGAACACCTGTAGATGTTAATTTGTGGACCTTGCTCGCCGACCTTGGAGTTCCTTACCGAGCTGATCTTGCTCGCCAAAAACAAGTCGCCGAGCTGACCTTGCTCGCCCACCTTGATATTCCTTGCCGAGCTGATCTTGCTCGTTAAGAAGCAAGTCGTCGAGCTGACCTTGCTCCCTGATGTTGGAGTTCTTTGCCGAGCTGATCTTGCTCGCCAAGAAGCAAGTTGCCGAGCTGACCTTGCTCTCTGACCTTGGAGTTCCTTGCGAAGCTGATCTTGCTCGCCAAGAAATAAGTTGCGAAGCAGACCTTGCTCGCCGACCTTGGAATTCCTTGCCGAGCTAATCTTGCTCACCAAGAAGCAAGTCACTGAGCTGACCTTGTTCGCCCACCTTGATGTTCCTTGCCGAGCTAATCTTGCTCGCCAAGAAGCAAGTCACAGAGCGGACCTTGTTCGCCGACCTTGGAGTTCCTTGCAGAGCTGATTTTGCTTGCCAAGAAAGTTACCATGCTGATTTTGCTCGCCGAGAAGTAAATCATCGAGCTAAGTTTATTTTGCTTACTAAGGAGTTGCATTGATTTTGCTCACCGAGAAGTAAATCGCCGGGTTAAGTGGTTGAGCGGTTAACATGAAAGCCGAAGAACATTTTGAAAAATTTGAGCTATGAAGATTTGTGCAGCAGTGTAAGTGATAAAACTTGACCAAACTATCATGAAGCTTGATGACAAACTGAGCTGAAATAAAGATTATACAAGAATAAAGTAATCCCAATCATGTTGCAACCGATGGGATTAAGGGGCAATTGAGAGTGGAGTTTGCACCTAGCAAACGGGCCGAGCTAGTTGTGACTTTGGCCTTGCCATTATGTTACGCGATCGAGTTGGCATTGCCGAGGGTAGTTTGGCCGAGGTTCTAGATCATGCGACTGAGTTAGCCCAAGGTCTGAAAGTTGGACCGGACTAAGCTGAGCTAAGTGAAGCGATGATCCAAGGCCGAGCAAGGTCAGCAAGAACGAACGGAGTTAGGCAAACCGAGCTAGTTATTGAGCTTGACCCTAAAGTTCAGCCAGAATTGAGGTTGGAACTGACCGGGTTATGCCTAGCTCGGTGGAATTTGCCAGGTGGTCCAATTGGAGTGCGAGAAGAGAAACCCGCCAATGGTGTACGTCAATACCATTTGGCAGTTTGGCCAATGTTGTTTGGCGATATTGACGGGTACACGCGTAAAGAATAGAGAGGGCAATACAACCACGCGTCCAGGGAAGGACGAGTAGAGTAGAGTGCAGAGGCTATATAGACTGAGCGGCGCCTCCATACAACAGGTCTAAATTTTTGGCTAACCAGAGCTCTATTGGTCTTTGGTCTCTTCTCTCTCTCACTCTCTCTCTTTAAAAGGGTATTAACTGTTGGAACAATCTTCTGTGTAAATAAAATAAACTGAAATAATTCGAACAAAATAAAATAACACTTACAGAAATTATTTTGTTGAACTAAACAAAAATTAAAAGACCAAGTCGAGTGTGTGACACTCTGTCCTTAAGACAGATTCGCCCCGCTATGGTACTTACGGTTGAGTGGCGTCTATCTCCCAGGATACAATGATCTTCACAAATTGTAGTAGTACTCCAAACAATTTGTTCGGCTAACCAAACCTTGTGTTCTAATACTCTCTTTAATTTATCCTAAATCTAATATGAAGAATAAATAATACGAAGAAAAAAAATTGGACAGAAATTAGACAATGTCTAGACTGATTTTTTCGGGGCCTTAATAACTGGAATTATGGCAGTATATATAGGCAACAACACTGCCGTGAACAGGTCCAAAAACAATTGTGAAAAGGTGCACAAAACCTATGAACAGGTGCACCCTTTACTATTCAAATTTGAATAGTGGTTTTGACCGTAGGCACTTTGAAAACAAAATTGAAAGATTCTGTTGATCAAACAAAGGGACAATAGGTTTATTTATTATTTAACCTATTTCAAATATATATATATATATATTAAATTATTGAAATAGTTAAATAAATAAATAAATAAAGAGGTACAAACTTTAGGAAACTTCTAAGGAACCTAAAATTTGAATTTAGAATTAAATTAAATTCCCACAATAATTTTTTATTGAAAAAAAAAAACCAAATGAATTTTATCTAAAAAATTAATGTTAAACCCGAAAACGACGTCAACTTCCCATTCACTCATAAATGGTTTTGACATTCCGTCTTCACCGTGTGACTTGCCACGTGGCAAGGAACACGTCACCTCTTCGGACCCATCCCAAAAGACGTTTGGGGCCCACTCAATTTTGGGCTCAAAGTTGGCCCAAAATATGCCTTATATATAAACCAATTTTCCAACAGTATCTTGTGCCATGCTTATTTTAAAAGTTAAGGCTATCAAAACACGGCTAGTTATCAACTACTACTAGTGTAGACATATTTTGATCAATAGTTCCCATGTGAAACATATTTAGTAGTCGAGGAACTCATGGGTGAGAGCTAACCTTCATCTTTTTGAAGACTGCTGATTTGCAAAAGTTGAATGTTGTTTGGTATAATTTTATAATGTGTTTCAATTTTTTTGGCTGCTTCCTTGTATTTTGCAGTACAAGTTGTTATGGGGCTTTACTCATGTGGTAAAGGAGTGTTTTGGTAGTATGATAGGTTGTGGGTTTGAAGTCTGCCTACCAAAAACTTGAATTTTTCTAGATAAAATTAAATATCAATAAGCAAGGTTTGTGCTAAATTGTTGTTTTACTGAATTGCTCAACATGCAATATTGTTCTACAGGGGTATGCACTAATTGAATATGGGAACTTTGAAGAATCACAGAAAGCCATAAATGAAATGGATGGAACTGAATTGCTCACTCAAACCATCAACGTTGATTGGGCATTCAGCAAGGGGCCCTTTAAAAGGAGGAATATGAGGAGAAGGTATGTTCCTTGCTAAATCTTTGTGCTTATCAATATAAGTACTTGAAATCTATGATGGAAAATATCTGTGAATCAATGGTTGGATTCTCAGGACAACGAATACAAAGAAGGGGGAAAAACAATTTTATTTTTAGGTTTGACTTGTATTACTGGGAATGAGGTGGGACAGGGAAGCACTTGTACATATCCTCTCCTGTTGAATGGATAGGATAAATTATTCTTTCACAGCCTATTTGTTTAGTGGATTTGAGCATGCATAAGAAAACAACAATTCACACACATTTCCCTTGTTTGAGATTCATGGGATATGTGGTTCTACGCAGCACAAACACAGATACAGGTTACATATACTACTTGACATTGAGACACTAACATGGCAAATCCTAAAAGGTATTATGAGGACCATTAATATAGATATAAATTTATATAGGTACATACCTTTTATTATTATAGAATTCCGTATCAAGAATTTCATATTGTGTGCATATACTTTTGTCATTGTGAGGGCGCTAACGATTTTAATGTTCGTTGTGGGTAATGACTTGTATTGGGACAAAGTTGGTAATTCTTTCCCAGATTTTAGTAGGTAATTTGTTTTTACCACATCATATCAACAAAAAACCAAACATATACTAATTATTTCATGTTGAAACAAACAGGTATTAGAAAGAGCATAATTAGATGCCATGGGGTGCTTTGTTATTGTCACATGGAACTCATAGAGAGAAATAAGAGACAGCAAATAGCAATACTTGAATCCTTTTTGTCACTGTGACTTCATTTGATTCACTTCTCTAGTGAGAGCCCTTTATGACATGAAATCTGATAGCTGTAAAATGATTGAAACGTCACTAAAGTTGTAATATCAGTGTGTATTGGTGTACTAATTTTCACTTGCAGATTCATTTTTATAATCTTATATTTTTTATTGGTTTGAGTCCTTCTATCCAGACATAAAGCACCAACCTTTTTTTGTCTGTATTATTGTAGATCATCACGTGGACACCGTTCAAGAAGTCCTAGGAGAAGATTCTAATCATGCAAGGATTTGTGGATTTATGTTGGAATGAGAAACAAGATGTTTGGGCAAGTTTTTTTTTGGGTAATTTGACTTGTAACTGATTGGGTGAAAGATTATTATTCTGTTTGCTGAGGTTCCCTTCCGTGGCCTCTTTGGCGGATGTTTGTTAGGATGTTTCTTCTAAATCATGTAATATGTTGCAATATTGGGTTGGTATTCATGGTTGTTTCTTGGACTAGCTTATTGCTCTGCACTTGGACAATCGACCTTTGATACCATTTTCCAGGATCATCTTGCACATTGATTGTGTGAAGGGTGTGCTTGATTTTGGTTGTGCTTTCTTTTAATAAAGACTTGAGATGCATCATAGTATAATATTTTTGTTGGCTAAGTTTGTTTCTATGTAAAAGTTTTCAAAATCAAAATAAAACATAAATTTTTATCAATCTTGAATGGTTGGTTCAATTTCATCGATTTTTCCTAGACTTCCATACACGGTAAACATAATATTTTTGTGAGGAGAGAATAGTTGTTCGTTAATTAGAAATAATTATTTTATAATCTCAGTAATTCTACACATGTACACAAAATCAATTACAAAACTAAACATGTAAAGCAATATGCCCAATCGATCAAGAAATATGTAGTTTGACAAAAATTACTTCACTTGTACATTATTATTATTATAATTTAATTTATATAAAATATTATAATAAAATTTAATAAATTATAAACATTGTGATGATATTTTTATATCTCATTTATGTGATTGATTTTATAATTGATTGGGTGTCCACATTGATTTTTGCTTAATTTAGGTTTTTAATAACTCCATTAGAACTGTGCATCTTTTACGCGATTTAGGAATTTGTAAATGAAAAGAGAAAAGTGTGTAAAATTATATAAAATTTAGGCACATTTTATTTATATTTCATCTATAGCTTTTCTTTTTTTTTCAAATTTTCTAACTAAACACAAACTTTCGGAATTTAAAAAAAGAAATAAAAAACGATGTGAAACTATATAAAATTTAGATACATTTTATTTATAATTCACCATTCAATTTTATTTTGTTTTTCAATCCCTCTACCAAAACCAAACACAATAATACAGCTTGGTGGGACAGGTTGAACGGATCGGCATGGTTGGCGGTTTTAAAAGCCAACCCGGGCTCAAAGCAACTCGACAGTTCATTTCACGTCACACACTCACACACACCCTATCACTTGGCGATTACTATGTTTGGATTGAGTGATTTTGAGAGAAAATAAAATAAATGAAGAGATATTTATTTCTCTTATTTGTTTGAATAACTTAAGTAGAGATAAATGGAGAGAAACGAAGAGGAATCCATCTCTCTTATAACCCTCATTTTCAATCTTCTCAAAAGTGGAGAGATTAGGAAAGAAAAAAAAAACCCACAAATTCTTATATTTTCATAATATTAATTTTGTACATGTAAAAATAAAAGAAATAAAATGATTAACACCCATGTCCTCAAAATATAAAAAATTATTTTGATAATATAACATAAAATAATTTATTTTCTTTTCTCTTATGAAATCTAACTAAACAATAAATAAAAAAATTACAATCATTTCTTTTCTTTTATTTCTTACTTATCCAAATAAAAATAAGAGAAAAATAACTGAAGTATTTATTTTGGTAATATAACATAAAAATAACTGATCTAATAGTGTATAATTTTTTTAATAATGCATTAAGTTCTAAGTTCTGTCATAAAATTATAATCATAATGAATGAAGATCATCTTCTCAAATTTCATAAGTAAAGACAATAATTCAAAAGGCAGATATTCACAAAATGTTATTATCATTCAACTGATCTATTTTTCTTGAAATAATAAACTTGATTTCTAACTAATGAAATAATACTAACAATAAATAAGATGTTTCTCAATAACCCTAATGTCTAAAACATATATATGCTAAAAAAGAATTAATAATAAACTGAATGCCATAAATCTATCTATCTATATTTGCTATCGGTTTATATATATTTTTAATTTATATATATACATATGGTTATAAATATTTGTGGGTTTGTAATTTTTTTATCATTTTATGCCAAATATATTTTTTATTTTTAAAAATTTTAAAATTGAAAATTTCTATTTAATGTTTGAAGCTCTTGTAAAAAATAAAAATTCAAATAAAAAAAATCAAAATTTCAAATTAGATTTGTTTAGATAGACTTAAAAAATAATAATTAAAATTAGATATTGAGAGGTAAAATAAAGATTTTAATTGAACAGATAGGATCAAATTTGTTAATTAAGAAAGATTTTGATGGAAGTGAGATAGATCAAATTTATTAACTTTATCTGTTTGTATATCAGATTTTTTTTGTTGTGTTTATTTTTTTTAAAAAATAGAAATTAGGAAAATTAGCAAAGGGGACTTGAGAGAATACCAGCAGGAAAGAAAGTGATTAAGAGTTAGTATTAAGGGTTTGGAGGCCTTTCATGTTCCGTACTACATTCTCATAATATATAAGAAGATAAAAGAAAAGGAAGGGACTGAACATCTTATAAATATTTTATTTTTATTTTTCATGTGTACCAAAATCACACGTTAATATAAGTAATTTTGTCTTTAGTTTTTTTTTTAATTATTTTTTATTATCCAAGATTAATGTTCTAACCATTTGTCTCACACGACCTCAAGCTAAAACTTTAGCAAAAAAGAAAAAACAATGGTGTGCTCATATCTATTGGATTAAGAAAAAATTGTGCCAAAAAAAATTGAAGTACAATTAAACAGTGAACACTCAAATGGAAAAGAGATTGGATAGAAGAGAGAGAATACATCGCCAGTACACTCCACCTCATATACACCATTTGTATGATTCAAGATTCTAGTTATACACACACACACACACAAAAAAAAACAAAAAAACAAAAAAAAAAAACAAAAAAACAAAAAAACAAAAAAATGGAAAGAAAGAAAAGGGCAATAAAAACAAAAGTGTCCTCTCTACATAGGAGTCTTTGATAAGTTTCTTGTTGACATATTGTTTTAAGACTCAAATTGGCCATATGTGCTTCCAAACTAAAATTTCTTGTTCATGGTAAAACTTTCTAATTCCTCTATAAAAGCCATCTATTTGATCATTCTAGTAATTCTCAATTATCCTTCCCATTTATTGTTGTTTGCTCTCCTCGTGACTTAGGAGTGTATTGTTTGAACTTCAATACTATTGTAACTTTTAAAATATTAAATTTTCTCAAATATAAGAAAAATGAAAAACATATACAAAAAAAAATTGGCAGATTGCTTTATTAATATGGAATACAATCACACAAAAATTCTAGGGCAAATTACACAAATAGTCCCTATAGTTTGGGACTTGTGTCACTTTAGTCTCTGACTTTTTAATTGTGACACATTTGACCCTGAATTTTAAATCTTATTTCAAATAAGGACAATTGAAGATACCATTGTTTAATTTCAAGGGTAAAATCGGTAATTTAATCAAATATAAACTAATTTGACAAACATAAATGTCAAAAAAATACTTTTAATTTTTTAAAAATTATTTTTATCTACCAATGATAAAAATTAATAAAAATTACATGATTAATTTTTTAAAATTAATTTTACATGATCATCATCCAAACATATAATAAAAATTAATTTGGTAAAAAAAAAAAATAAATGTTTAGAATATTTATCAATTTTACATAATTTTTTTTAGTGGGTAGAAATAATTTTTAAAAATTCAAAAATATTTGTTTGACATTTATTTTGATCAAATTAGTTTATATTTTATCAAATTGACGATTTTATCCCTGAAAAATCAAATGATGTCTTCAATTGTCCTTATTTGGAACAAAATTTAAAATTCAGGGTCAAATGTGTCACAATTGAAAAGTCAAGGACCAAAGTGACACAAGCCCCAAACTATAGGGACTATTAGTGTAATTCACCCAAAATTCTATGTAAAGCAATTGGTTTGTCTATATAATAAGTGAAACATATAACTCAAAAACTTGGAAAGGAGCTTAAAAAATAAATAAAAATAAAGTAATGGCAACCTGTTGTATCATATATACCAATCTCTAATTTTCTTACGGAATGGCCATTTAGGAAGTACTAATCTAACTTTCTTATGAAATGATCATAGAGGTGATGGTGACAAATAAGGGTAAGTTTTTTGGAAGAGATATACAATCATATTTTTATTTTTTGTGAGAAGCAGTGTGAGATTGAAACAAAATTGTAATTATATATAAGGAGGAAGAGATTGAAACAAAAATGTAACTATATATAAGGAGGAAGAGAGACATGTAAGAGATGAAGTCATGTGAAAGGAGGATACTTTAATTGAGATAAATGAAAGAGGTGATAAGAGAGTTTTAAAATTTTTAATTTATCTAAAGTGATAAATATATATATATTTTTTTTATATATTTCATGTGGATTTTTTTCTCATCTATTTTGGCTAGAAAAAACAGGGTGAGAGAGGAAGAAGTGTCACCTCATTTTTTTTTCTCTCAAAATTATGAGAAATTAGGATTAAATAATTGAGAGTCTGTACGCTTCTACTACATTTGCTTATATTTTTTTTGTGAGAAGCAGTGTGAGATTGAATGTCACGCCCTAAAATTTAGACAATTAAATATTAAATTATGACTAAACCCAATTAATATTCCATCATCCAAATCCTAGGGGTGAAATAAAAAAACTAAACGCCAACCAAACCATCCACCATAATTTCATAACTAATCAATACCTCCAACATTAAAGTAACAATACATAGTCAAAATAACTTAAATAATGTAAAGTTACAAACCATGCCAAATTATTAAATACCAAGGTCATAAAAAAAATAATAAATACATAAACTAATACCAACCCTAAACTCAAGAAAACAAAAGAAGTCCAAACGACATGTCCTGTGATCATAGTTATTTTTTGTCACCACCATAGCCTAAACTAATCCTGTAAAGGAAGCTTAGCTGCGCTCAAACAGAACACACCCGAGTTGCCAAGAGACAAAACGGGTCAATATACATACTGGTATGAATACAAGATTTAACACCCACGTGTTCACCAAACACAAACAAAAATACATTTAATTCTTGTTATGGGACAAGACAAGTGGTTCCAACCGCACCGAGACGAATGGATAGTTTCCCAAGATACGATGGCATTTAGTTTCTTTCCCATACACAACGAAATATAAATTGATTATAAAATAAACAAAATAGAAATAAAAATATGGTGGGTCAGCCATGCATAAAAAAGTTAGTAAGACCTACCATCCTGCAAAAAAAAAAAAAATTAGTATAATTTAATCATAAGCAACTTACTAAAGAAGTATAAAAATGCACCATTTTATACTTAAATAATTTGAATTAACCAAAACTCAAATAACAAAAGTTGTGCTGAATTAAATTTACTAAAAGACATTGCAAACGAATTTAGTAGAAACTAAACAGGTTGAGAGAAAAACTTGATAGAAGAACCTAGATGAAATTCAACTGAAAAATCTGAAGCTGAAAACGAACAGAAACTGCCCTAAGATTATTTTTTCAGAAAAGTTCAAAACACAAAAAGTGTGCAGAATAATGTTTTACTTCAGTTTTCGAGAAACCAATAAAAATGAGCTCGTTTCGTGAGTTAATTGTTAAAATGAATTAAAACTACTATAATCAAGATCATCTGATTATAAGTTATAATCGATTTTTTTAATAAAAATTTTAAACACAAAAGTTGTCTAGAATCACGTATACATGCCTCTACTCAAATTTCATAATTTATCGAGGTCGTTTGCTATTTTTCAAGATATACATATCAATACAATTCATACTATAACAATAAACTCGTAATTAAATTATTTGTACCTTAAGTCCACCACTTCGGTCTCCATTTCCGGCCTACACATATATTTCATACCTAACATCACTCTGGAGCCAAACTTGCATGGGGATATCGTCTCGAGTTTGACCCACACTCTCCAGATGGTTAGCATATACGTATGCGCGTAAATCAAAGCACTCGTCTATTCATGAGAACGATGCAACAATATACATATACAAAACATTTCACTCATGAGAACAAACATAACAATGCCAAGTCTAAGACATTCAAATAAATCTCATAATCCTCACTTTTTTTTATACATTCTTTCTCACCAACACACAAATAAAATAACAATCCATGGAGTCATAGTGGAGTGTAAAGTATAAGGAATTTATCTATGAGTTCCTAATTAGTTTTAATTGCATATAGCCATGAATGTGATTACAACTATAAAATAAATACATATTGAAACCCTAAACCTGGCATGCCAACTAATCAAAATAATTAAAATCAATAAATCATCTATATACAAGTACGAAATCAATTCAACATCAAATTAAAATAAATACATAAATAAATAAAAACAACGAATTAAATATAAATTAAGGGAAGTGAGTTTTGTACTTACAATATTTTTTTGAAGATCAAAGAATTATTTAGAAAACTAATAAAGCCACCAAAATAAAACCCTAATTTTTTTTTCTTTTTTCTCCTCTTCCTCACCACTCTCTCTCCGAGCCCTCTCTCTCTTCTCTACATGCACTGCCTACGGTTTTGGATGAACCCCTCCCAACACGCGCGCGCGCGCGCACACACACACACAAATTGCAGCCCTCTTATGATTAACCTAATCATTTATTATATAAATTTTCTATTATATTTATATTATACAAATATAACATAAATATCACATACATAAATATATTATATATTTTATCAATATATAAAAGGGAGATTTACCAATAAATCCCAAATATTAAACTTATGAACCAATTGGTCCCAATTTTTTTCTAATAAACCGTTTAGTTCTTTGATATTTTGAGGGACCTTAATGCCCTCATTTAGATGTTATTAGATGCATGCTCTTTATGAGGGTGTGTCACGTAACACACACAATATGTCATGTGACACGAACAATGGGTGCCACACATCAACAAAGTACACCAAGGCTCTTTATGAGGGTGTGTCACGTGACATACAATATGTCACATGACACGCACAATGGGTGTCACATATCAACAAAGTACACTAAGGCTCTTTATGCTTTTTGCCTTGGAGTGTCAGGTGACACACACAATGGGTGTCACACATCAACAAAGTACACTAAGGCTTTTTATGCTTTTTACCTTGGAGTGTCAGGTGACACACACAATGGGTGTCACACATCAACAAAGTACACTAAGGCTCTTTATGTTTTTTGCCTTGGAGTGTCACGTGACACACACAATATGTCACGTGACACACACAATGGGTGTCACACATCAACAAAGTACACTAAGGTTCTTTATGCTTTTTGCCTTGGAATGATGTATGTCACGTGACACACACAATGGGTGCCACACATAAACAAAATACCCTTAGGCTCTTTATGCTTTTTGCCTTAGAATGATGTATGTCACGTGACACACATACGGAAGGGTATAATTGACCACTCAATGTTACTAAACAAAGGAAATAGGATCAACTGGTAAGATATTTCCCCACTAATAGGACTAATCAGAACAATAGAAATAACCTTAGGACCAATCGGTAAAACTGTTTGTGAGATAGGATTTATTGGTAAATATCCCTATATAAAACACTTTTTTTTATAAATAATTTTATCAATATATAAAACACTTTTTTTTATAAATAATATAAATATATCAATATTTATATTAATTATCTATAATTAAATAACACATTAAATTAATTAAACAACACATTAAATTCTCATATAATCACGCAATTAATAAAGTCAAAAATAAAATAAGGCAAAAATAAATTAATAATGACCTACAAAAAATTAGGATCGCTATATTGAAACAAAAATTTATATAATAAAACAGGATGGTTTTTGAATTTGTTCTACACACATTTGTCATACTAGGACATTTGGACGGCTTAGATTTATTCAAATTATAAAACAACGACTGAGATATATTTTTCAAAAAATATCCTACATGTGTATTTTTTATTTTTCCGCTTCTCTCTCTTACTTTTTCATTTTCTCACCCATCATTCTATGATCCCATAATCTCACATTCCTCTCTCTTTTCTTTTTATTTTTTTTTATTTTCTTTAATTTTTATTTTTCTTTTTATTTTTTTATTTTCTCATTTTTGTGCACTTATTTTTATTCGTATTATATGGAAAAGTCTGCGATCCCAAAATTAGGAGTCAGATTTTACTGTGTGTTGTGCAGATTATATTAATGAATTATTTAGTTCACAAATTAAATGAATTTGAACAATTAATTATTATTTTTAAATATATTGAATGCTTGATAAACTTCGTAAATTTAGATCTCATATGAATTTTCAACATATATTTTAATAAAGTAGGACAGTTTTTAAATCTTCAACATATTTTTGTCTTATTAGGACATTTGGATGGCTCAGATTTGTTCAAATTATAAAATAATAGCTGAGATATATTTTCTAAAAAATGTTGTACATATACATTTTCTATTTTCCTACTTCTGTCTTTTTTTTTTCTTTTCTCACACCCCTCCTTTCATGATCCCATGATCCTGCCTTCCTCTTTCTTTTATTTTTATTTTTTTATTTTCTTTTGTTTTTATTTTTCTCTCTATTTGTTTATTTTTTATTTTCTCATTTTTATTCAATATATTTTACACATATTTCCATATAATGTATGTATGTCGTAACACACTAGGACATTACGGGCATATATACAATTTTTATATAATTATATAAGCAAAAGTAGTATTGTATGTATGTCCGTAGAAATTGTATGTATGTTAGACACATCTATCTATTTAGCTATATATATTATATAAGTAAAAGTGAGTTTTCATGAACAGTTTCGTGAAAATTCTAAAATTTTATAATAAATTTGTGATTTTATCAAATTAAAATATAAATTTAAATAGTGTTGAAATTTCAATTATATTTTAATCATAATATTATTTGTACCGTACTTTCAGACACGGATATATACTAGTGTATAGGGATGACAATTTAAACCCAACCCGGAGGAGACCCGACCTCCCGACCCCGATTTTAACGGGTTTTTCCCGAAAAATACTGCCGACGAGTCGGAGATGGTATTCGGAATTGAACCCCCGATAAATTCCGGGCCGGGGATGGTGAAACATTTCCCAGCCCCGTCTTCGACCCAACCCCGGCCCGAGCCTCGTCCCCGATTTCCCGATATAAAATTACTATTGTACCCTATCTATCTATCTATAAAGTGAACACCCCTCATAATGTCTTAAAACCTTTGGTTGCGTTTGGTTGTGTTTTGTAAATGTGATTTGAGAGTGTGAGTTGTATTTTGAGTTTGTGTGTTGTAAAATTATGATTTGAGTGTAGAAAATTTGTTTGGTAAAGAGTTTTGAAAATAGTTTTGGAAAAGAGGTTTGATTTGAGTGGGGAATTGTTGATATGATATTTGATATGTGATACAAAAATTTACAACTCCTAACTAAACATACAACTCAAAATTATTTTAAAGCACATTAAAAATTAAAAAAATTTTAGAAAATATTTTTCCCAATTATATAAATCAATTGCAAAAAAAAAAAAGAAAAACTGTACAACAGAGGACATCCGGGTGGATGTCCCCAAGGACGTCCGAGTGGTAGTCCCTAGGGACGATCGGGCGGTCTGTCCTCGGCCAAAAAAAATACAAGAAACGCGCAGAATGGACAGAACTTTCGGCAGAATTTTGAAAAATTAATTCCAAAATTCCTACCAAACATGAAGCTAAAACTAACATGTAGAATCACATTTCAAAAGCACAACCAAACACAACCTTTGCTTCTTATATTATCACGTGTCTACTTTTTTTTTATTTGAAATATCTATACCATTTTTAAACCAAGCCAAACCCTAAAACACAACTCACTCTCACACAACTCACTCATACACCGCCTCTCATCTCTCCTCTCTCTCTCTCTCCCTCCCTCCCTCCACCGATCTCCCTCCGTCGTCCTCCTCTCCCCCTCCTCCGCTGTCCTCCTCTCCCTCATCTCATCACCGCCGATCTCCCTACTCCTCCGCTGTCTTTGGCCAGAGAGAGCTGTGGTTAGGGTTTTCGATCTCGGCCAGAACAAGTACTCAGATCTGCAACGATCGATTCCACAACAAGGCGTCGCCGCTGGTGAACAAGGCGTCTCCAAAGTAATCAATCTATTTCCCCAAATACCTATCTCTAAAATCTCATCTTTTATGCTTATGTCTATTGTTTTTTTGTTTTTTTTTACTCAGTTGAGTTCGATGTCCTAGACAGCAGAGGTCTCCAACAATATTTTTGGATTTTTTTTGGAGATAGAGAAACAATCGATCTGGTAAGCTCTTCAATGCTTGTTTCGAATGTCTCTCTCACCTGACTTTTTTCTTTGCATTTTTAAATTTGTTTTTTTTTTACCATTTCGCTTTCTTGTTTAATCACTAGTTTTCATTTCTTATCTTTTGTTTTTAAATCCATGAGTTGCGATACCATTGACCGTTCTGAACATGGAGAGATTGTTATTTAATCACATGGTAAATGCGTATTTGTTTAATTCCAATTTATGGGTCAAAACAATTGTGGGTTCTGCTTTCTGAAACCATAAATTTGCTTTAAGAACCTGTTTTCAGTTTATCAAAGCTGTTACGATAAGAAGTAGAATCGTTTCATGTCAAAAGCTTTAAATTGCTCTGCTTTTCTTGTGTTTTTAGTGTTGGTTTGTGTTCATGTATGAATTAATTTCAAGTTTCCTTTCTGGGTTTATCTGATTATATATGTGTCATGGAAAGTTGGTTGATTTGTTTTTTATGTTTTCAGTCAAAAGGAAACTAGAGGATTTTCCAGGAAAATTTAATAGAATTTTTCTTGACCATGCTTAAAGTAGTTGCTGTCGTTTCCTTCCGCATCAATTATTAACTAACTGCAATTGGTGTGATCTGTTCTTAGGAATGGGTCTGGAATTATTGATAATCTTTATTATAGATTTGAAAATTGTTATTTAAATTAATTAAATTGAACTTGTCCCACACTCAATTCCAATGAATATATATATTTCTTATTGATTGATGACAAATTAATAATTAGTAAATATCTTGTTTGAATGAGTACAATCTAAGCTTAAAATCAGTGGTTTCTTTTCTGTTTGATTGGAATCATTGATTAGTATAAACAGTGGCTGTGAGTTTGGATATTTTATTTTTTAATTTTCCATTTTGTCATGGATACACATAAACTGAGTCCCAAAATGTGTGTTGATAATTTAGGGTATGGATGTATGTTCATATGGATGTGTGTTGATAATCTCAATGTGTGTTGATATGGATGTGTGTTGATTTTGTCATGGATGTGTGTTGATAATCTCTGTTTGGTTCTCAAAATGGAGAATCTTGAACAATTTTAGTATTGTATTGAAGCATTTTAATCATGTATAAGGGCATTTTGCCTATAAAATGTTTAGTTGATATGGACAAAGCTTGGACCAAGATAAGGAACATTTGTTTTTGCTGTATTTGATAGTGTACGCTTGCTATTTCACTAAAGAAAGGAGGTCATTAATCAATTGTAGGACAGTGAATTGGATATAATTGATGGTGTGGGTGCTGAAGCAGGCCATGTGATAAGAACAACTATTGGTGGTCGACAGAGAGATTGTCGCTATCAAGAAGGTTCTCCAAGACAAGCGTTACAAGAGCAGGGAGTTACAGATTATGAAAATGATGGACCATCCTAATGTTCTAAAACATTGTCATTGATGTTATATGTTTTATTTGAATAACTATTGTTCCATGTTGTAATAGACTAATGTTACTATTTCTTTTTTTGGTTTTTTTATTTTTTTGGTTGGACATTTGATATATTATGTTGCATGTATTATTTTGAGGGATTTATTGGTTGTGGGTTGAGAGATGAGTGTTCTATATTGTTTGAGTATTTTTTTTGTTAGTTCTCCTATATTTTCTTTTGTGCTCAGTTATAGGTCTTATGCTATTGGTTGTGCTATTGTTATGCTGCTCATGTACAGTGTGTGAGATTACCCATTGTGTGAGATTACCCTTTGTTACAGTGTGCGAGTACCCTTCGTGCTGTTATGCTGCCTTATTTATTTGGATGTTTATGTTTGGATATTGTTGCATTATGTTTTTATATATATTATTTTTATTTGCCTCAAAAAAAAAATAAAAATAAAATGAGAGTTGCAAAATTCAAAAAAAAAAAAAAAAAGGGCGGGATCTTTTTTGATAATTTTTGTTTACTAGCGCCTTTGGTTTGGCTATACAAAAGACAGACTTACATCGAAGCAAAATCAACCCGCGAAATGGAAACTTTCGTCGTGAAAAAATCCTACTCAAGAAAGGATTTCTAAACTAATAAAGGCTTAACTATTTCCACACATGAAAAGGACTTGACAAAGGCTGTAACCGAACACCTTGCTAACTTGGACACTTGGGAAAGAAAAATTACTAACTTACCCCTATAATCTGGAAAGTTATGACCTTACATAGCCCTATTTAAAAAGTCTAATTATTCATATCAAAAGGAGCTAGGGCCATTAGAGTTCTACGAAACCCATGTAAACATGTTAGCAATCACACAATATTAATGGTGGTGCTTATTGGTCAATTTGTCAGCCCATGTGGACAGTTCTCTATTTTCTCCTTTTCTAGGCATACTCTTTAAGGTGCTTAGCCTAGATAATGGGCGATTAGAAGGTGTAAAATTGGGTTTTGAGTCACAAAACTACAATTTTCCATCTGATGTTAAAGAGTTTGCACCAATATATATATATATCTACATAAAATGGGTCCATTGGTTCAGTGGTTAAAACTCAGCCTACTAACCTTGAGGTTGTATATTTGAATATGACAGCAATCGCTTTGTGCAAATTATGCCAAAGGCTATACCCAATCTTCCCCTCCAAAACCCCCCCATAAAATGGGGTCTAACCTGCGCATAGTTATATGTACATAATAAGTATAAGAATGTTGTTTGAGTATTAGTTGTTTTATCATAGGTTTGACAATTTTTATTGCATTAAAGAATCATAGATGTATTTGGCGATGCATTGATTGTATGTATCGTTATTTGTAAATGCTAATGATGTAGGAGCTCTCGTATAAATCATATTATGCTATCCGCATGATAGTCTAAAAAGCTGAGCTTTTGACATCAACTAATTCTTTTTGGAAATACCACTTGGTATTTTTGGAAAATAAAAAGTTCATGCCATAAAGATAAAGTGTATTAGATTAGTGAGAGAATTTTCTTTTCTTTTCTTTTTCTTCCTTTCCTTTTATTTTTCCCGTAATCCTAGTGGAATATAGTAAATGAGGGTGATTGTTGATTGAACAATAACTACATCCTTAAGGAGAAATATGTTAGGAAGAACCTAGCCAGGGGAATGAACAAGACAATTGCAGTATTTTGTTAATTGTTCCTTATAAATTCTATTTTAAAATTTCAATCTCGTTTGATACATGGATCACTATATATATGCAAAGCACTTTAGGAACCTTTCTAGGCAAGTGAAGAATTTACAAAAACTAGTTGAATTTTGTTACAAGGCAATGAGGTTGAATACAGTTAGATAATGGAGACAGAAAAGAGAAAAGAAAGAACACAAAAGTTTAACGTTGTTTAGCTAATATTGGCCTACATCCACACACACAAATCCCTAAGGGTTACATCTTTCATTCACTTAACTCAATACTCTTGTTTACATGATACACCATATATATAGACTGAGAGATACAATCAAATCCCTTCAGTTAAGGAATTGAAATAAATCAAAGGTACAAAAAATCATAATAAGCATGAATCATGGGATCTCTATATATTCTAATATCTTCCATATCTTCTAATATCTTTAACAATATGATCTTATCTCCAACATTCCCCCTCAAGTTGGAACACGAAACGGTTGAAGTGACGTATCCAACTTGAACTCGAAAATAGTATGATCATTATAAATGACTACATGAAGTTGCCAAAAAACAATAACAATTGTAATAACTCCCTCAATGACAACCTCAACGAACATAGCAAGGAATCAACATCTTGCAACAGAGAAATGTGCATTGAATCAATCATAATGGCCTATGTTACACGGACTCGGGTGTGGGTACGTATCTAGGGGTCGGGCACTTCAAAATTAAAAATTGAGGATACGTGGATATGGATCCAAACGAGGATACGGGTACGGGGATACGTTAAATATTTAATTTTTAAAATATATTTATTATATAAATTTTGTAATAGTGGGAGTATGTTGGAATTGGACAAGTATTTGGAGGATATTGAGAAAGGTGGGAAAAATGCTCAATTTGATATCTTAGAGTGGTGGAAGACTATGAAGCACGGACACGGACACGGACATGGGATACAGTAATTTCCAAAAAATGAGGACACGGACACGGCGGGGGACACGGCAAAATTTTTTTTTTATAAATATTTTTATTTTAATACATATTAATTATTTAATTTATTTTTTAAATAATGTGTTTTTATTAATTTATTTTATTTTATTTTATATTATATATGTATTTTTTTTTATTAATATTTATAAATATATAAAATACAAAATATGTGTTATAATATAAGTATTATATGTTATATGTAAAAATTTATGTATTATTGATTGATGTTTTGATGTATATTACAATGATTCATGATTCCTATATATAGAAGAGGGTGAGTGTGTAGTAGGTAAGGAGTAGGTGAAGTGGAGGTGAAAAGGCGAGAAGGCAAGAGACGCGATCTGGTCGAAGAGGCAATCAAGTGAGAGACGCGATTGGATGGAGGCCATCGACTGGTTTGACTGGTTCGAAGGTCATCGAAGTCGACTGGTTCGACTGGTTCAAAGGTCACCGAAGTCGATTTCTTTTCTAGGTCATCGAAGTCGATTGGTTTGAAGTCGTTGATCAGGATCCTCTCGCCGACCAGGTTTCTTTCTCTTCTCCTTTACTCTTTGTCTTCTCTCCTGTTTGTCCAGATTTGGACACGCGTGTCCAGATTTGGTGGACACGCGTGTCTCGTCATGTCTCCGCCGTGTCTTCTGCAAAAAAATAATTAAATTAAAAGGACACGCCAACTGGCGTGTCCCATACGTATCCCCGGCGTGTCGCCGTGTCCGACACTGCCACGACATCAAATTTGACGTGTCCATGCTTCATAGGGAAGAGAGACATGTGAGAGAGGAAGTCATGTGAAAGGAGGGTGTTACTACATTTACTTATATAGATAGTAGGAAAATGAGTAAGTACTAATTAGTGCCATCACTAATGATGTGGCAGTGGGTCCCACCTACTGCTACAATGTTGTTGTGTCTTTTTTTTTTTAAAAAAAAAAAAATAGATGCCACATCATTAATGGTTACCTTAGAGCATCACTTTTAGTGGTCTCTATCATTGCCTTAGATAGTATTGGTAGATATAGATAAATAGAGAAATGGTATACTTATTCAAATAAAAATGAGAGAAAAATAACTGAACGATTCAATTCATTTATTTTTCTCCTAGTTCCCAAACATAGTGTAAACCTAATTCGCTTAGAGATAGCGGCTCTCACCTCTCCTTACCCCTCTCCCTGCTCACGCGGCCGATGGCCTCACCTCTTGTCGCTGGTTTATAAGGCCATATATATACATATATATTGTCATTAGGGTTAGGTTTCTCTCATTCCCTCACCTCTCACTTTCAGCCGTTCGGTTTCAAGGCCTCACCTCTCACTCCGTTCGAAATTCATAAACGACACAGCTCATTGGACGAATTTTCTCCGGCAGCGGAGCACTCGACAGCCACCACTCCAGGTACTGCAATCTCTCCTACGTTGCCACTTCCCACCACCACCTCCTCTGAGTCAGTGAGTCCATGACCCAACCCGCCCTCCCTAATATTTTGAATTTTTGTGTTCTTTCCTTTAAACTTTGATTAAACGCATCAGTAATGATAGAGTTGTAAATTTGATTCAATTTGGTACGAGTTTGAATAAAGGAGGGCGATTTTTAGCCAAATTTATAAATTTGATATATAGGGTTTGAGTCAAGGATTAGAGATGCCTTGTAGAACTATTTGGAAATTGTTTGTTTACATTTGTATTGGATGCATGCTTGCTTGCATTGTATATTGTTGTACGTATATGTTAAATATGTTTGGTTTGGTTTGGGGGTTACTTTTTGCAGAACTAAAAATGGAGCAGAGACTGGCTAATACCTTGAGGATGACTGTTAATGAGAAGAAATTCATCGAGACTGCTTTACTATCGGACCTTAGAGTTGATGGTCGCCGTCCATTTGATTATAGACGGCTTACTATCAAGTTTGGTAGGTAAGGATTGTTAATGTGGCAGTCCGTCTATGTTAATGGAGATTTATAAAGTAGTGCAGCTATGTTTTAGCTTCTAGAGATTAAGATGCTTTTGGCGGTGTTTGGGAAGTCCTCAAGTAGGCTATTATAGCCTCAGGATGAAAAAAAGCCATTTAGCCTACCACTGTAGCTAAACCATTGATATAACTATAAAAAAAAAAGAAAAAAAAGAAAATAGCTCTGCAGCCTATAGAACATAGGCTCTGCAGCCCGCCCCTGTCACTTGATGGCTGTCCCACCGGTACAAAATGACACTTTTGCCTCTTTACACTAATTTTGAAAAAAATGAGATTAGGGACAAATTTGTCATTTCAACCTCAAACATCATTTCAACACACTTTTCAATATAACAACTCAAATAAAAATCAATCTCATCTTCCCAAACACAAAAACTAAAATAGCCACTTCCCAAACGCGGCCTTTGTTTGTGTATATCAATTGACATGGGAAGAGATTTGCCAATGATTTAATTAGTCAACTGCTCCTTCTCCCAAATGTTTTGAATGGTTAGTTTAAGGACCCAGTCCTTTTGTTCAATAATCAGTGTATGTGTGAAATCCTCCTAGCTGCTTTGATGGATGATGTTATTTTGTTTATCAAATCAAACAGAGTTCTTGGATGATTAAATGTTATATTATTATCATTGCATTTGGTATTGTTGTTATTGTGGTTTTGACATTGCCCTTCTTGCTTGTTGAAATGAGACAATTGTGCAAATGGATAGCCTTAAAATTATGCCACAATTTGTAGGGAAGATGGTTCATCAGAGGTGCAGCTTGGTCAGACTCATGTTATGGGATTTGTAACTTCCCAACTAGTTCAACCTTATCGAGATAGGCCAAATGAAGGGTCCCTTTCAATATTCACCGAGTTCTCTGCAATGGCTGATCCTTCCTTTGAAGCAGGTCGTCCTGGAGAAGCTGCTGTGGAGTTGGGACGTATAATAGACCGTGGTTTGAGGTGTTTTTTATTTTTATTTTTATCTTTGTATACATATTTAATTTTTCCGAAACAGAATGGCCATGCTCGAGTGTAATTCTATTTATTTAGTTATTTTTTTTGTGGCTAAGCTCTTAAAGCCTTTTTCTCCAAATAGTTTTGACACGGGAGCTTATGAAAGCATTTGGCAATCATGAAAGATACCAAAATTTCGAAATTTCGGAATTTCAGTGCATGTTCTTGTTCATTACGATGAAATCATGCTTTGTTGTTGATCAAACCAAAAAAAATAAATAAATAATCCAATGAAATCATGTTATTTTGAACATGCTCAAGATCTTTTCTTACATTTTTCTCGTTGATTCTTACAATTTGTAAAGAATCACAACCCTAAATTGCTTGAAAATTGTAAAATTTTATTTTATAGTTTTAAATTCACTAGTTAGTAGTTAATAACATATGAATGCAAAACTTGCTTTGAAGTAATGGCCTCCTATTATGCCTATTGTAAACATATTTGGTAGGGTTTTGTATTGAAATGAAATATCTTGCAGGGAAAGTCGAGCTGTAGACATGGAATCACTTTGTGTTATTGCTGGGAAGCTAGTGTGGGCCATTCGCATTGATCTTCACATTCTAGACAATGGGGGGTAAATTGTAATATATTTGTAAATCGAAGTCAGTATCTTCTATTTTTTCTGACTTTATGTCAGCGTGACAATCTTTTCCTCTTTCTTGATCATGAAAACAGAAATCTTGTTGATACTGCCAATATTGCTGCTTTGGCTGCTCTCATGACATTCCGGCGGCCTGAGTGTACATTAGGTGGAGAAGATGGTCAGGAAGTGATAATTCATCAACCTGAGGTGTCCGCCGCTTCACTTATTTATGTTCTTTTTAGAAATAAGATTTCAATGTACTTGATGTTGTAAACATTTAACCTTAGTTTTTTAAATGATAACTGTAAACATATGTAAGAATGTTCTGATTTTAGGCCCACAATGCGATGTTTCAATTACCTAAGAAACTTGCTTGTCTCGCAAATTCAACAAGCCTTTATTGTAGTCTCAAAATATATTCTATGTCTCTTTATACCTGTGCAACTAATCTTTTAACGTAACTGTAATTGATTGATTTTCTGATAAATCAATAGAGCAGTTAAAAATTCAAACATTCAGGATCTCCCACCCTGGTCTTGTAAGGCTGCAACTTGGCTGTAGACACAATTTGGAGTGTATGTCTATGGCCTATAAAGGGCAATGTTACTAAAGCTTGATTGTTTTAGTTGATTTCGCTGCAGTGTATCTAATTTTGTTATTGATTTGAGTCTTAATTGAGTTTGTTTGGTGTAGCTTATTGAGATTGCTTATGCTTTTTATTTTATTTTATGTTGAGAATCTATGCTAGAATGTTTGGTATAGCTTTAGTCCATGTAATGCTGTTACTAATGATTAAAAATATTTGCAATGAAGTAATTACACAAGATGTCTCTCTCTCCTAGTGGGCTATTAAATCATTTTGGTACCTATAACGAATTGTTCTTCCCTATACATCTTTAACGTATAGCTGGTTTAACATTTATTTCTTTTTGACAGGTGAGGGAGCCACTTCCTTTGATAATACATCATCTCCCCATAGCTGTAACCTTTGGGTTTTTCGGTAATGATAACATTGTGGTAGGCAAACTAACTCCTAAAAGTATTTCGGTCTCTAGTTATGAAAGAAAATTCATTTATTATTCAGTTCCAGGTGTTAGGTTTGCTTTCTAATATAATTAGGGTTGCGTAGGTAATAGACCCAACCCATAATGAAGAGGCTGTTATGAGTGGAAGAATGATTGCTACACTTAATACAAATGGGGATGTTTGTGCGATTCAAAAAGCTGGAGGAGCGGGTGTCATGCAGAATGTCATTATACAGTGTTTAAGAATTGCTTCTGTGAAGGCTGCTGATGTCACAAGCAAGATTAAGAATGCTGTGAGTTTTTCCCGTTAGAAATTTTTTATTTGATATTTTGTTTCCATTCATGTGTTCTTTCATTATGCATGGTTTGTACATCATGTGAAATTATTGATTGGTTAAATATATAGCTGGGTTTGGACTTTGTCATTGCTGTCATCTTCGAAGCACGGACACTTCTAAGAAGGTGGCGTGCTCTTAAAATAAACTCAAGGCTGTAACACAAGATTCCTAGGAAATAAAAAGTCATTGGCTGTTGCATTTATGTTTCATTAGTAAAAACAGTTCCCAGTTTAAAGAATGAAGTTTTTATATATTCATGCCTTGTGTATTTTTTCCCTTATATCAACAAATTCCTTTCCTTTTCTAGTCTATATAGTACACAGTACGTATATCTTATGGTAAAGCATCTCTTGGGCATTGGACGGTAGGGTGTTGATGAAAAAGGATCCATCTAGCTGATCCACATGGTTTGGATAAGGGCATGCTTGTGTCGGGTTTATGGGAAGCTGCAGAATTTAGGTTTGAATTCAATCCACAAAACCTTAATATGTGAATGCAAGAGTTGAGCTTTCACCACTGTAAGGCTCTGCTACTAACATCTAAGATAACTTCCTAAAGATAAGTGCATGTTCACACATTGTACATGTGTTTTCATTAAGAATTATATAAGGGTTGGTTTTTTGAATGTGAAATAGCAGTTTTTCACACAGCAGTTCATTTCATGTGTGGAGCGGAAAAGAGGTCATGTTGATGACATTTGTCTCCTGTGAAAGTGATCATTTCTGATACCATCTCACTCACATAGTTATCAGAATCCCGATCCGGATCTTACGATCTATTTAAGTACAATCGATCCGGATCGTGTAAAAAACTCCTTATAGGTAGGATCTTTCGATCCTGGTAGTGGGATCTTATAGGATCGTAGAATCCCGATCCGAATCCGATCCTATCCGATCCAATTTACAAGCCTTATTTGGTATTGTATGACATATTTTATTGTAAATTTTATGTTTGTTGTCTAAATACCAATTTATGTGGTCAAAATAAATAATAAAAATTAAGTAGTATTGAATCAAATAGACTAAGAAAAACAAACTAGAAAACAAACATTCAAATATTGCGGTAAGTTAAAAAAATTAAATAGTCGGAAAAACAAACATAGCTTTAGTAGAGTCTAAGGAGGGTAAGATGATTGCAATTTTATCCCAATTTTTGGAGAGATTATTTTTGTGACTTGAATCCGCTCCACCAGGGATGTTAACTACAAACCTTATCATTCGGTTAAGTTATTCTTTTGAGTTTTTAATATATTTTCATATCCAACTTTGTTAAATATTTTTTCTTCACTTTTTATAATGGACCCGGTGCTAAGTTGGTGACCAAGAATCAATCCGTAGATCAGAAAGGAGTTGGTGATTTGTCAGGGCGTCATGTAGAAAGATTAAAGTTGATAACAGAGGAATGTGGTGTTAGTCAGAGTAATAACATGGAAGGTGAAATCCAATCATCTGAGCAAGACAGAATCAACGTGAAAGATGGCCATTCAAAGAGTTTCATTGGTGGGCCCTCAAGTTGGTATGATGTCATTCTGTAAAAAAAATTAGGACCTTGCTTTATGATTTACTGAACTCCATTTAAAATTTTTAAATTTATTTTGGGAACATCATATTAACTTTTTAAACAACATGCAAATTAGAAAGCTTGGATTTTCATGTTGATGATACATTTAATTTTGTTTACCATAGCATGATGTTAAAAAGCTGCTGTAGACAATGGAACTGACTAGTTTGACAACTGACAAATTGAAATCAAGTCCTTCCATTTTATAATTATTCTATATCTTATGTGAGGGAAAACATTTAAACTGCCATGAAATGCGAACTGGGCTTGCTTTATAAATGCTTGTTAGACTAAAGGGGGTGTTTGGGAGTTAGCTTTTTTTAGTGGCTTTTTAGTAGAGAGAATGATTTGATAACTTGTAATGGCTTTTTGGCTAAAAACTCTAGTTCCCAAACAAGGCCTATGTCTAGTTTCCATGGTTCTCAAAAAGCACATCAAAATGAAATTACATTTGCTAGTGAAGGCAGTTTATTTATATGTAAGTGGCATAATAGTTTTGGGATTTGTTGCTATGCTAGTTGCAACAGTATGGTTCTTGAACTATCGTTTGTTGGCCCTTTCTTCCCTGTATCACATGCTTGCTTTTTAAGCTGGAAAAATTGTGTTGAATTTCCTTTCCTATTTCTCCTTAGCACATGGTTTCTCATTTTTAAGTAGGTTGGTTTCTTTTTCAGGGATCCATACTCGAAGGGAATTGATCCTGATGCATTGAAAACTTCTCTAGCTGCACGTGGTATCTAAATTCTATAACAATTCCTAAAAGCATAACAATTGCCATTCTATCTTTTAGTGTTTCTTTGAAAATGTTTTTTTTGATGAGCTTTACAGTTATCTGATTTGGTTGGTTGGTCTTAGTCGCGGAAGGCCCAAGTCCATATTCCTGGATTTAATTGTTGTCTTGTTGGCTGAGATGCATGTGATCACTTGATGTTGCACAGGTCTTTCAAAATTGTTATCTATTTTTTGCTTTTTTATATAATCTCAAGTGGTATGGTTAAAAAAATAATGGTTGCCAATGAAGAAGTGTCAATTGCTTCTTATCCTTGTTCCTATATGCCCCTGTATTTATTTCTCAATTCTTGTCAATACATCTGTGCATCTAGTAGACTAGTGTGATAGATTGGGTGCTCTAGCATTCTCCAACAGCATGCTTTCTAGACAATTTTCTGTTGGCTGCTAGATATGGGCGCGATAGCACTCTCTAGAAGCTTCCACGATTGTGCTGTGCTAACTTAATTTCATCTCTTCCTTGCTCCTAAGCCTCTCCAAAGCTCTTTAACACCACGTTGATTGCCAAGTTATTCCTTACAATGAGATTTCCACAGAATTAAACATAAATTGAAGGAATTAACATCAAATGAATGCGACCTTACCTATGTAAATCAACATAAATATGCGTTGTTCGGCATTCATGGTAAGCAGGCTTGCTTACTTGTACGTCTTTGTCCATATTGACACTCGTCAACCCATTGATTCTAATTTTGGGTTCTGATATCTGAAAAATGAAGAAGCTAGTCAAACTTTTCTTCAATTGAACCTGTATTTTCTGTTGCTGTAACTATGTACCCTTTGTGAATCAATAAATTATTTATAATCACATCTGCTATATTCTATCCGCATGTGCATACAGTATGTAGAAAGTCAATTGGGGAACAAAGTAAACTCTTGTTTAGCTGTTCTCAAAAGATTTTTTTAATGCCTTCTGTGACAGCTTCCATTTTTAGTTTTGGGATCTATGTTCATTCCTGCATGTTGGTGTTGCGTTTAAACTTTCTTTACATTCAACAAAACAATGATGAGGTAGAAATTAACGTGCTTTAATGTGATGTGCAGGAGCGTTAACATCCAATAAGAAGCTAGAAGAATCAAGACATGAGAAGCCATCTGAAACAGAACCAGACCAACTTATGGAGTATGTTAAGCCGGCTCCTTCTGCAGATGGGGAAGTGGGAACTCGAGGACAAACAAATGGAAAGAAGACTTTAATAGATGCAGTGAAGCCCAAGCGCAAGAGAAAAAAGAAGTCATCCTCCAACGTTGATGCAAGTTAGCTGGATGAAAAAATATATCCAGGTATGATACTGACTTTTTTCTTTGTGCTAAAAGTAATTTTCTTGCCGTGCATCTCATAAGTGGATGAATCAACTGGTGAATCTCAGGAAACTGCTATTGATTCTTTTAACTGGTTCTTAATATAGGCTAATAGCCAATGTAATTCTGATGACTATGGTGTTAAAAAGGAAGGGTATTTTCAAATTCCAAGACTAAACAAACATGGGACTTTATTTTATGTGCAATCTGTTTGTCTTATCGAGGTATTTTTGTCTTCTTCTGTATATTTTCTGAAGTCATCTTTAAGTGAGTCACGTGACCACTTAACATGGATTAAATTATTAATGGGATGAGATTGCAATATTTTTTAAGGCATCCCTAATTAAGCTCATCTAGATAAATATTTTTTAAGTAATACTTGTCCACACTGTTGTCTAACTATTATTTGCAGGTCATCGTGATACCGGGGTATTGCTTCATTGGACTTTGATTTGATCCAGTGAAAGGCATATGGAGTTGGGAATGCTTCTAAAGTTGCTGCATTGAGTGTTTATTGTAGGAGTAATCCAAAAGTGAAACAGGAGAGGAAATGGTGTTAATATTCCTTCTGCACCCAAGGTTTTGTTTCGACTAAAATTTTACTCGAGGATTGATTTATTTTTATTTTCCTCACTCTCTCACTCTCTCTAGAAGACACAATGGATCGGTCAGTCAATCAAATCATGCTTCTATTTATAGACATAGCCCTAAATTACAATTTTTGTGGAGCCCAACTTACTCTTTAAGATAGGTTTACTGTAAAACATGATTGTTTTTAGTGTACGTCAAGCTACTGTGAAATAGTTGGGACTTGCGTACTATAAGTGACAAACTAATAGGAGAAATTATTGCTTGGTTAGAAACATTCATGGGCTTGCAAGTTAATTTCGTTGTTATTGTGGAGTATGCATGATTGATGTGGTTGAATATGGATAGAGGGTGGTGATATGGAGGAGACATTCTCACACAACCCTCACAAGGGTTAAGCAAACATCTTAAAATGACAATAAATAATTATTTAAAATATTACTGCAATAAATAGAATAACTACATAGATACTTACAAAGTGCTACACTTCTCTTCCATCAACTAAAACTATATGATTCACAAATAGAAAACTAAAGAATTTTAACTAACTAAAATATTGAAGACCCAATAAAAACCATATAAAAATATCTTAAGTGTGTATATGTATACTAGGGTAAATTACACAAATAGTCCTTATAATTTGAGACTCTGTTATTTTGGTCTCTGACTTTTCAATTGTGATATATTTGATCTTAAATTTTAAATCTTGTTTCAAATAAAAATAATTGAAAATATCATTAGATTTTTCAAGAGTAAAATTGTCAATTTGATAAAATATAAACTAACTTAACAAAAATAATGTCAAACAAATATTTTTGAATTTTTAAAAATTATTTCTACCTACTAAAAATAAAATTATGTAAAATTGATAAATCTTTTAGATATTTATTTATTTTTTACTAAATTAATTTTTATTATGTGTTTAGATGATGATCATGTAAAATTAATTTTTAAAAATTAATCATATAATTTTTATTAATTTTACATAATTTTATCATTGGTGAATAAAAAAAAATTTTAAAAATTAAAAACATTTTTTTGATATTTATTTTTGTCAAATAAGGTTATATTTTATCAAATTGACCATTTTACCCTTGAAAAATCTAATGATATTTTCAATTGTTCTTATTTAGAACAAGATTCAAAATTTAAGGTCAAATGTATTATAATTAAAAAGTCAAGGACCAAAGTAACACAAATCTCAAACTATAGGAATTATTAGTGTAATTAACCCTATATACTAATATATTTTCCTTATGTACATTTGTATACATTTTTTTCACCCTTAATATGGAATCTCTCCAGCAAATTGCAATATCACCAAATAACTTTTTAAAAATAATAATAATAAATTGCAAGAAAATTGCTCTAGGAGCACACTACCCTTCAAAATCCATATATTTTTTCGGAAAGTATAAGAACATATTACTAAAAGGGAGTACACCCTTTGTACAAAATCTAAAGACAAAAAGAAAGGCTCAAGACAAAATTTGAGCTCAACTAAATAGAAATAAGAAACAAAGACAAAATAATGTAAAGTTTAAACTTAAATAAACTCTCAATATGATTATATAATGTCCAAAGCATACACGCAAAATTTCCTAGCCATCCATTTTTTTTTATGAGTACTGTATTAAATTTTGACAGAAAAAAAGTTATATTTGTGTGTGCATACACACACACTCACACACTATTCTATGAAGGCAACAACTTGATGTCACCTCTTTTTGTGTGTATAAAATTGCCATCCAGATTGAAACAAAAGTCAAGAAAGATAATCAAAAGTCCATCAACAAAACCTTGTAAGGTGTTCAACATCACTCTCCAACATAAACTCATCATCCCAACCTCATCTAATCTAAGCCACTTAGGTTCTCTCCTTGGAGTTTTAAGTAAACCCTATTTCAACTTCAAAACTTAATTCTCCCCTATGCAAAGCCCAAGAACACCTATTTGAAAGTTCCATTTTGGATTATCCACAATACAAGGCAAGTGTGCCCTCTTTATATTTCAATACTGATTCAGCTTTACCCACCTTCCAACATCACCAGCATGTCTTTCAAATTTCAAGTTCCTTTCAACAAGTCCTCAAGTCTAAGTGCGAAAAATGCTTGATGGCCAGAATTTGTGTGGTTCGAATGTGTCAAAACGATGTCGTTTACACCCAAAACGGAACTGGAGGACAAACAAATGGAAAGAAGACTTTAATAGATGCAGTGAAGCCCAAGCACAAGAGAAAAAAGAAGTCATCCTCCAACGTTGATGCAAGTTAGCTGGATGAAAAAATATATCCAGGTATGATACTGACTTTTTTCTTTGTGCTAAAAGTAATTTTCTTGCCGTGCATCTCATAAGTGGATGAATCAACTGGTGAATCTCAGGAAACTGCTATTGATTCTTTTAACTGGTTCTTAATATAGGCTAATAGCCAATGTAATTCTGATGACTATGGTGTTAAAAAGGAAGGGTATTTTCAAACAACAGTGCTGCATACCCCCAGTGGGGGTCGCACCCCCAGTGAGGTGTCGCGCCCCCACTGGCTGAAATTCATAAAAAAAAAAAAAAAAAAGAAAACAGTTTTTTTTGGACCAATTATGGAGTGCCACCTCACTGGGGGTCGACCCCCAGTGGGTGTATGAGTGGGTGTATGAGGCATTTTTCATTTTCAAATTCCAAGACTAAACAAACATGGGACTTATTTTATGTGCAATCTGTTTGTCTTATCGAGGTATTTTTGTCTTCTTCTGTATATTTTCTGAAGTCATCTTTAAGTGAGTCACGTGACCATTTAACATGGATTAAATTATTAATGGGATGAGATTGCAATTTTTTTTAAGGCATCCCTAATTAAGCTCATCTAGATAAATATTTTTTAAGTAATACTTGTCCACACTGTTGTCTAACTATTATTTGCAGGTCATCGTGATACCGGGGTATTGCTTCATTGGACTTTGATTTGATCCAGTGAAAGGCATATGGAGTTGGGAATGCTTCTAAAGTTGCTGCATTGAGTGTTTATTGTAGGAGTAATCCAAAAGTGAAACAGGAGAGGAAAAGGTGTTAATATTCCTTCTGCACCCAAGGTTTTGTTTCGACTATACTTTTACTCGAGGATTGATTTATTTTTATTTTCCTCTCTCTCTAGAAGACACAATGGATCGGTCAGTCAAATCAAATCATGCTTCTATTTATAGACATAGCCCAAAATTTATTTTTGTGGAGCCCAACTTACTCTTTAAGATTGGTTTACTGTAAAACATGATTGTTTTTAGTGTACGTCAAGCTACTGAGAAATAGTTTGACTTGCGTACTAGAAGTGACAAACTAATAGGAGAAGTTATTGCTTGGTTAGAAACATTCATGGGCTTGCAAGTTAATTTCGTTGTTGTTGTGGAGTATGCATGATTGATGTGGTTGAATTTGGGCTGTAAACGAATGGGCCAAGTAGTGGGCTACTCAAGCTTGTCTTGTTTTTAGTATAAATTGAGTCGAGTTGAGTAATAATTGTTTAAATTTGACTTAAAAATTTATCGAATTTTAAGATGTGTTCAAAGTTGATTTAAGTTTTTCACGAATTGGAACATGAGTCGCTATTATTATTAATCCCCCTTTGTAATTGGCATAATTTAAATACAAGATGCATTTAAATTTATTTATATTATATGTTGGGCACTACGTGCGTAGTTATCCTCTAATCAAGCAATGACTCATCTGAAGCTCGCAATGATAACGTGAAATATTCATATTGTAATCTCAGCAAGGTGTTACGCAAAAAATCAATTTCATCAAAACATTGTTAAATACATAAACAAATTATTATGAGATGAATAGTTTAAATCACTCACAAAATGAAATATTGAAGAATATGGATAGAGGGTGGTGATATGGAGGAGACATTCTCACACAACCCTCACAAGGGTTAAGCAAACATCTTAAAATGACAATAAATAATTATTTAAAATATTACTGCAATAAATAGAATAACTACATAGATACTTACAAAGTGCTACACTTCTCTTCCATCAACTAAAACTATATGATTCACAAATAGAAAACTAAAGAATTTTAACTAACTAAAATATTGAAGACCCAATAAAAACCATATAAAAATATCTTAAGTGTGTATATATATACTAGGGTAAATTACACAAATAGTCCTTATAGTTTGAGACTCTGTTATTTTGGTCTCTGACTTTTCAGTTGTGACATATTTGATCCTAAATTTTAAATCTTGTTTCAAATAAAAACAATTGAAAATATCATTAGATTTTTCAAGAGTAAAATTGTCAATTTGATAAAATATAAACTAATTTGACAAAAATAATGTCAAACAAATATTTTTAAATTTTTAAAAATTATTTCTACCTACTAAAAATAAAATTATGTAAAATTGATAAATCTTTTAGACATTTATTTATTTTTTACTAAATTAATTTTTATTATGTGTTTAGATGATGATTATGTAAAATTAATTTTTAAAAATTAATCATATAATTTTTATTAATTTTACATAATTTTATCATTGGTGAATAAAAAAAAATTTTAAAAATTAAAAACATTTTTTTGATATTTATTTTTGTCAAATAAGGTTATATTTTATCAAATTGACCATTTTACCCTTGAAAAATCTAATGATATTTTCAATTGTTCTTATTTAGAACAAGATTCAAAATTTAAGGTCAAATGTATTATAATTAAAAAGTCAAGGACCAAAGTAACACAAATCTCAAACTATAGGAATTATTTGTGTAATTAACCCTATATACTAATATATTTTCCTTATGTACATTTGTATACATTTTTTTCACCCTTAATGTGGAATCTCTCCAGCAAATTGCAATATCACCAAATAACTTTTTAAAAATAATAATAATAATAAATTGCAAGAAAATCGCACTAGGAGCACACTTCAAAATTTAAGGTCAAATGTGTTATAATTAAAAAGTCAAGGACCAAAGTAACACAAATCTCAAACTATAGGAATTATTAGTGTAATTAACCCTATATACTAATATATTTTCCTTATGTACATTTGTATACATTTTTTTCACCCTTAATATGGAATCTCTCCAGCAAATTGCAATATCACCAAATAACTTTTTAAAAATAATAATAATAAATTGCAAGAAAATTGCTCTAGGAGCACACTACCCTTCAAAATCCATATATTTTTTCGGAAAGTATAAGAACATATTACTAAAAGGGAGTACACCCTTTGTACAAAATCTAAAGACAAAAAGAAAGGCTCAAGACAAAATTTGAGCTCAACTAAATAGAAATAAAAAACAAAGACAAAATAATGTAAAGTTTAAACTTAAATAAACTCTTAATAAGATTATATAATGTCCAAGGCATACACACAAAATTTCCTAGCCATCCATTTTTTTTTTTTAAAGCACTGTATTAAATTTTGACAGAAAAAAAAGTTATATTTGTGTGTGTGTGTATACTATTCTATGAAGGCAACAACTTGATGTCACCTCTTTTTGTGTGTATAAAAATTGCCATCCATTTTGAAACAAAAGTCAAGAAAGATAATCAAAAGTCCATCAACAAAACCTTGCGTGGTGTTCAACATCACTCTCCGACATAAACTCACCATCCCAACCTCATCTAATCTAAGCCACTTAGGTTCTCTCCTTGGAGTTTTAAGTAATCCTTATTCCAACTTCAAAACTTAAATTCTCCCCTATGCAGAGCCCAAGAACACCTATTTGAAAGTTCAATTTTGGATTATCCACAATACAAGTCAAGTGTGCCCTCTTTATATTTCAATACTGATTCAGCTTTACCCACCTTCCAACATCACCAGCATGTCTTTCAAATTTCAAGTTCCTTTCAACAAGTCCTCAAGTCTAAGTGCGAAAAATGCTTGATGGCCAGAATTTGTGTGGTTCGAATGTGTCAAAACGATGTCGTTTACACCCAAAACGACGTCGTATTAAACCATTCGAGCCATGAAAATTCGGGACACCTAACATTGTTCAAAGAGTGTTGGTAATAACTAGGATGGTGACAAAAACAAGAATTAAGAAGGGTAAGTCAATCCTTAACATGGTTTGCTCTAGGAATGGCAACGGGGCGGGGCGGGGCTAGGGATCACACTTCCCGTCCCCGATTCTTGATGGTGAAAATTCTCCCAGCCCCGGCCTCGATCCTGATAGGGAACCTATCATCCTCCCTGGTTTCATCCTCCTTGGTTCCGTCCCCTAACGGGGATCGGATTTCCCCGACCCCGAAAATCCCCGGCCAAAAAAAAAACAAAAAAAAAAACAAAACAGTGGCTCTCATCATCATCAACATCATCAACAACAACTATAGTCTACAAAATCATCATCAATGATCATCATCATCAACACAAACAACAACAAAATGTATATCTATATCTATATCTATTTCAATGATGTTGATATAGTGTATATGTATATGTATATGTATATGTATATATATATATATATCAGATCTTAAACAGATGAAATAAAAAGTTGAACAGATAGTGAAAACAAAGTTTGGTGAATTCCAATAAATAGGAAAAAATATAGTTGGAGAATTTCAACAAATAGATACAAATTTGAGTAGATAGGTTTAAAAAATTGAGCAGATACACACAAAAAAATTAAACAAATAGGCTAAAATAAAATTTTCAATGGACAGGTGGTAATGTATTTTTGACCGTGTGTATATATCTATATAACAATAGAGAGTTCATTTGAAAATAACTTTGAAATTGATAGTTTTGATCTATCTAATTTAAAAAGTAATGGTTTATATTTATTTTTGAAAATGTCTTTCTTATAAATTATCTTTAATGGTTGAGATTTGTCCAATTTAAAAACAATGGCTGAGATTGAAAAGAGTTTCAATAGTTTAGACTTATCAATGACTAAAATTCAATAGCTGAGATTTGTTTACCTATCTATTCTCACCAACCCACTGCACTTACCAGCTAAGCCACTCTTTACATCATATGTATCAATATGTATCAATGAACACAGCTCAATCGAAGGAAGAAAGCTCTGAAGAAGGAAGAACACAGCTCAATCGAAAACTGTCTTCTCCACCATCATCAGGTAAGACACTCTTCTCTCCTCACTTTTCTCTCCTCTGTTTTTTTTTTTTCATCATCCCGTCATCCACACCTTCAGTTCGAATGCTAAACAATGGCTTACATTTTTTTTACCTTCAGTTTGTTTTTTTCTGAAGCAAAAAAAAAAAAAAAAAAAAAAAAAAAATTCTAAAGCAAAAAATTTACTTACTCTGTCTCTACAAAAAATTCGAAGGGTTGAGATTATATTTATCAAAATTCTAAAGCAAAAAATTCTGATTTGTTTGTTTTAGCTTTTTCCCTCCAAAATGTGTCTCTTCACATACTCCACCAACTCTCCATTTTCCTCACTGGTTTTAGCAATCTCCAGCAACTCTTCATATGTGTTTCTTCTTTGCTCTTTCACTCTTCTAACCAATGAAATGGGTTTCTATATCTGTAAATATTGATGGATTTTAATGATGGATTTTGATTTCATTGATGGATTTTCTATTTCGGTTCCATTTTCCCATGTTTCGATTATATATGATGGATTTTGATTTCATTGAAGTGGGTTTATGATGGGTTGAAAATTTACATTTTCTTTTTGTACGTTTGAAATTAGTTGCAAATATGATAGGTTTATATATTTCTATTTCATTGATGGGTTCGATTTTGGTTTTGATTTCTATAAAATTGGATTTTGGTTTTGTAATGGGTTTATATTTCGATTATGATTATAATGGGTTTTGTAATGATTATAATGGGTTTATATTTTGATTTTGGATTTCTATGAAATGAGTTTCGATTTTAGGTTCATATTTGTGGGTTTCATCAACTAAACCTATGAGGATTTCAGAAAAGTATTGAATAAGATTTCTATGAGTAATTGAAATGGGATTGTTTGCAGAAAAGTATTTCTATGAGGATTTCAGAAAAGTATTGACATGGGGCTGTTTGCACCCTGTTAATTTTCCTTTTCTTAATTCATTGTCTATCAAAACAAACATATCCATGTTTCAGCAAATATCTGAGACTCATCTGAGAGTATGTGAATTATTGATTGTTTCTTAGTTTAGACATAAGTAAAGATATACTTTAAAAAAAAAAACAAATAAAAAAAACCTTACCTCAACTGTAAAAAATTAATTATCTCCAGAAAGATTACTAGGGATTTATTCAACTTATTGAACTAAAGTTCGATATATTGTCAGGGTCAATTCATTCAAACAAAGAATGCAATTCCAAGAGTTCACTGTTTCATTATTCAGGAGAATGTGGATGGGACAATTAAAACTGGTGAATGATATTTGCAGAATTTGGCTTGAAATTTGAATCTACAATTTTCTTTTGAACATTCATCCAAGAATTGAAACCCAAGCCCATTGACACCAAAGTGACCATACACATGAAGGTCTTCTGTGTAGACATCCCAAAGATAGCACCTAATATTAGGTCTTAGGTTTGATTTTTTCTATAGACCCATTTTGGTTTGCTCTGCAAATCTTAGTTGCATGAATTTTCTATTGAGGTGATGATTCCGCTCTAGAACTGTGATTCTGTGGTTTAGAATAAGAATCTTGTTATAACCACATTTCTGTCAAGATAGAATCATAGTTTCAATTGGGATAGGACCACTAAAACATATGAATCCCAAAGAAATCAAAGAAAAACTACCAAGAAAAAAAAAATATTGGTAGAGAAGAAATATTTATCCTCGATTTTGGCTTTCCTATTATGAATTAAAGGATGAAATTTTTTAATAGATCTTTCAATTTGGGTTCTGTGAGGATTGAAAAGTAAAGATATGGTGATGAATTGTTACTTTTGGAATGAAAATTTATTGTACTTATGTTTAATAGTGTAACTGGTTATGTAATATATATATATATATATATATTTTAAAACTAAGAAACAAAAATAATTCAGACAATATATTTATAGATAATCAAATGAGTTTTAAATGAGACTCATCTGAGAGTATGTGAATAAGATTTCAAATGTTATTGATTGTTTTTTAGGTCCTTGCATGCATTACAAAAGTGTTTTAGTGAGATGCCTTGTTGAAAATGGATGTGAACCAAATTTATTATTGATGAATTGAACAGTCTAATAGGGGAGTTTAAAAAACTCCATTAGAAGTATGCAAGGAGTGAGCTTTTCTCCTTGGTTTTTCCTTTCCTTTTTTGTTTTGTTTTTGTTTTTTGTTTTGTTTTGTTTTGTTTTGTTTTTTTTTTCCTGATAGTATTGTGCATACAATGCACTCTATTCTAATACACGATCACTTTTGAAAAACTTGGCAAAAATTCTCAGCCTATTACATTACTCCCCTTTACATTTTTTATTTTCCTCCTCATCTCCTCCTCATCCTCACTGCAATTTTCATTCCCAATATCTTAACATTGGTGTTATTTGCAGATTTTCAGGTCACCTGCTAAACCGCTTGTGCCGGCTGTTTCTGGACGAGTCCAAGGTATTTTATTTTATTTATTTTTTTTAAAAAAAGGCTCTCTTAAACTGTTTTTCAAGAATAGTATTATTGTTGCTTCATGAAGCCAATTTATGACATCTATTAAAGCATTCCAATTTATACATGAAACACAATTAATGAAATTTATTTTCTTTTACTTTGTATAAAGCTCTGTTATTAGAATCGTACGATTCGCAATTCCAATTTTTCTTCCTAATATGCTCTTGAATTAGGTTAAAGAAAACTAATAATATTTTTATTTGGTTGAATTTGAATTTTTGCCTCCATATATCTTTTTATCAGGAAGGGTGTTGCATTTTCTTTGTATTACAGAACATTGGCTTGTGTGCTTAAAATTATTTGAATTTTTTTTGTATTACAGAGCATTGGCTGGTGCTTAAATTGTTATTTGGCATTTTTTTTGTATTGCAGACCATTGACTGGTGTGCTTAATTTGCTGTTTATTTTTTTTCTATTGCAGAACATTGGCTGGCGTATATAGATGTTTCTGTGTTGTGGGACTTACATTTTGTTGTTTGTTTAAAATCTTATACTTTTGTTTTGCTTGAATTTTATGTAGAATTTATGTGTTTACTTTTCACTATTTTGTTTACCTATAAATTTGAAAATTTTATGTTTAAATTGATTTATTTAATTTATTTATTTTTCTGCACAATAAACTGACCACCAAACCATAAAAATTGGTAGATTTTAACCATTATATTAAAATTGATGCAAAACTATAGCTATGAGATCTCTCTTCTTTATATCAACCAAAACTCACTATCTAAAAAAATGTGAATATAAAAATTTATTTGGGTACTGTTATTGGCCAGGATAATAAAATACTTATTTTCTATTACAAATTGCAAGTGGGTTACATAAACAAAAATACTACAACAGTAAATATTTTGTGATACGATCTTTGTTTACATTTGTGTTATCACTATTTTCACATTTTCTTGGCCAAGGTAATAATTGTGTCATCACCATTTTTAATTTTTCTATCTCTCTAAATTTTATAATGCAAAATATTTAAATTGAGTGGATCTGAAAAGTGAAAAATATTGATTAAAATATTAAAAATTTCACTAAAAATAATAAAATACAAATTAAAATTTTACAAACTATTTTTGGAAACTCTAAAAGTAAGTTTTGAATTTTAAATTTGTAAAAATTATTTTTAATTTTTAACATATACAACCAAACAAAATTTTGAGTTTGACAAACTCTTTTAAAAAATCTAATTATAAAATTCATTTGAAAATCCACAACCATACAAATCATCTATTTATATTTTCACCTCAAATTTTTTTTCCCAACAAATTAAATAAATTACATTTTAACCCAACATTTTTATATTCAATTACATTTTCATTCCAACAGTATTTTCACCGTGTCTGAAGTATATATATATATATATATGGGACTGTTCGGGGCGGGGCCGGGTCTGGGAAAGCTATCACCGTCCCCTTTTAATACCATCCTCGGCCCTGTGGGGATAATTTTCGAAAAAAATCCGTTCTAATCAGGGTCGGGGGATCGGGTCCCCGTCCCTAGTTTGCTCAATATAATTCACTTAGAATCATATATCTATTTTTTCCCATAATGTCATGGAATATATACTCTGCTAGTGTGTTAGCATATTGAGTTTCATCTACTTTATGGCTCCAATTATTATTTCTGATTATTTAAAAAATAAATTTTCACGAACTCCTATTTATAGCAAATCAGCCACTTCAACCATGGCATCCAATCTGACATCGTTAGGCCTTGAAGTATAAGAAACGAGTCACTCAAGATTAAGACCACCTTCATTGTTCTTTTGATCTTTTCTAGCATACCTCTGTAAGAGATGTGAGTGTTGTTGTTCAAATTTTGAAATTAAATAAATAGATTTATGAAGAAATCAAATTATATATATACTAGGAACACATGCTAATAATTACAACTAAATTTCAACAGAAATACACAAAACAATAAAAGGGTAAAGAGACGAAACCGAAGCCTGCACGGAAGCAGTTTCCTTAAAACAGATTTCGCCGCCTCACTGGTCGAGTGCTTGCGGAATCCCGGCGTCTGTCTCCCAGGATACGACGGTCAAAACCAGCTACGGCAGAAGCACTCTCTGTCTAGCTTAGAGAACAAAACAGTGGCAGCACTCTCTCATTGTAGGAACTTTCAAGCAAACTGACTTGTGAAATGGAAGAAAAAATTTCTGTGTTTGAGACTTGACAGGAGGGTCTCAATTTATACATGTATCGGGGAGAAAGGAAGAGCCTCCAGCCTTTATGGCTATTCATAATGCACCATTAACCTCTGCAATAAAGGCGGGAGTTACAAACTCCATTAATGCAGGAGTTATAAACTTCATTACCTTTTTTCCATGAAGCTAACTTCATGAGGTACTTTCTCATTCAAATCTCAATGGTTTTTGGCCATTCTATCTGTGGGGTAAAGATTTCAATGCAAAGTATCTAGACCCACTTGGACGCAACATAATAGATGGTTGGGACCCATTTTAATCTTTAATTAAAGTCACCAAAAAAAAACCATTTTTCCAACAAGTGTTGTAAGAACGGGTATACTAGACACTGCAGTGTTGACAATAGTTAGCTTAGTCAAGGATAAGCAACACGGGTGAATTTTTGAAGTTAACAGTGGACCTCCACCACTATAATATTTTCTACATATGGCACTCTTACAGAATCCAACCTATATAGCAAGTTTATGCAATATAAATTCCTTAACCATTATAAGAAGACAGGATATTAAGATATCTTTACACAATTTTTTTACATTTGGAAGTGCAATCAACAAACCTGAGCATTTTCCTCATGCTTAAATGCTTTACTGGCTATATCGGCAGCTTCCAAAACTTCAGTATCTTGCTCTTTCACCACTTCCAGAGTCGGGCGCATTCTGATGGAAGCCAACGGATTACCTGCCATCAGGAGAGAAGTTAAGAATTGACCAAAATCAAAGGAAGGAAAAAATATCCATTTTCAAAAATTAAAACCAACAAAACATAGGCAACAAAAAAAAAAAAAAAAAAAAAAAAAAAAAGGTACTGATGATGATCAGCATTGCTGATGAAAGTGGGTAAAAACCCTTTACTTTAATGTCAACCAATTTTTTTTTTTTTGTAGTTATGTGATTGGTACTTGTTCACAATCATTGCCATGAGAAGCTTTTTTTAAAATGTGTCAGTGAAAAAAGAGACTTCATCATAGAATTAAATAAACAAAACCTAATGCAAATATTATTGTTTCAAATCCGATATGTAAAACTAGTCACAGGAGCACGAAAACAAATTCAAATTGGTTTTCTCAAGTGTTGAGAAAGAATTGATAATTTGTCTTGCTCATATTTTTCTGAAACAGATACACAACATAACGCTGCAAGAGCACAACTGAGTTACCGTACATATTATCACTCCCGAATAGGAAAAATCGAGGGCTGAAAAGGAGAAGAAAATCATATTTAAAAAAACTCAATAAATGCAAATGTAAAATGCATAACAGCTAGTAATACATCAAATTTAGAACTGTAAAGTGCACCATTGAGGTTGTTAGTGTATGATTAGCTTTAGCATGCTAGTGTATGATTATGTCTGTTAGTGTATAGCTTTAGCTTTATATCATGTTAGTGTATAGCTTTAGCTTTATATTTTATAATGTACAATGCATGTACAATGCATCACACTTTCGGTGGGCATCCAATGCTCAAATTCTCTCTATAAAAGAGAGTGCATTCCCCTTGTAAGTAATATTCAATACATCAATATATACATAATTTATTTTCTCTCTCTCTATCAATTTATCTTACAGAGGTCATGCAACATCTTTCTGAAATTCACATGCAGTCTACCAATCAGTCTTTTACTGTTTTCATAGAAAATTTGAGTTTATAACACTCGACGGTTCATTTACCAGACACAACATAATTTTTTTTCCAAGATTACAATATAATTCAAACATGAATTCATCCCCAACTTTACCCATGATTGGAAAAATATGCTGAAAATGCTCAATTGCTAATGTTTCATCTCACTGAAGAAACCATTCTGAACTTCAATCATAAATTGCTTAAAAAGGTGCTGGGACAGTGCTAATGTTTCTTCTCACTGGACGCACCATTCTCAACTTTGCCATCATAGCCATGATAAGGAACTTCAATCATGGGTCTTGGGACAGTGCGGTCGCCAAAAGCTTCCAGAAAGAATTCAAAATCCGGGCCAAAGTTGAACTTGACAACACAATTTGGTTGATTGGGAAGAGTATACATTGAAGCTGCAGGGTAGTATCGCCCACCATAAAGATCCGGAAAAGCAACCCCTTGGCATATCCCATTTTTGAAGAAAGATATTTCACTTCCTGCAAAGAAAAAGCAACCGGCTACCCACCATTACATATCTAGCTTGGCAAATTACTTAAATTTTTACTTATATAACAACTCAACCTGTCCTAATCCAACAGTTATCATTACCAAAATATTTCTTTAATATGAATATAACAATTCAACATGTCCTAGCATTTCAATCAAGACGATTAGCTTAGTTACCACAAAAAATGTCTTTTCAATTTCAATTTCAATTTAATTTCATATACATTCAACTAATTCAAAAAGATGTTTCATAAAAATATCTTAACATAAAAAATAATAATGCTATGGTGTTATACATTCAACTAATTCAAAAAGATGTTTCCTAAAAATATCTTAACATAAAAAATAATAATACTATGGTGTTATACATTCAACTAATTCAAAAAGATGTTTCCTAAAAATATCTTAACATAAAAAATAATAATACTATGGTGTTATACATTCAACTAATTCAAAAAGATGTTTCCTAAAAATATCTTAACATAAAAAATAATAATACTATGGTGTTATACATTCAACTAATTCAAAAAGATGTTTCCTAAAAATATCTTAACATAAAAAATAATAATACTATGGTGTTATACATTCAACTAATTCAAAAAGATGTTTCCTAAAAATATCTTAACATAAAAAATAATAATACTATGGTGTTATACATTCAACTAATTCAAAAAGATGTTTCCTAAAAATATCTTAACATAAAAAATAATAATACTATGGTGTTATACATTCAACTAATTCAAAAAGATGTTTCCTAAAAATATCTTAACATAAAAAATAATAATACTATGGTGTTATACATTCAACTAATTCAAAAAGATGTTTCCTAAAAATATCTTAACATAAAAAATAATAATACTATGGTGTTATACATTCAACTAATTCAAAAAGATGTTTCCTAAAAATATCTTAACATAAAAAATAATAATACTATGGTGTTATACATTCAACTAATTCAAAAAGATGTTTCCTAAAAATATCTTAACATAAAAAATAATAATCCCACCATAAAAAATAAAATTATTTGGTTTTTTTTTTTTTTTTTTTTCTTTTTTTTTTTTTTAATTATTTTGAAACTCTAAACACTAGAAGAAAGTTTGAACAAAATCAAATAATGAATGTGAGTGATAATCAAAGTAATGTGTAGCTTCTCCAAATTTGAAACAATTTACGTATTCAATTGAATATGAAACAATTTAAAGTTGAGCCATACAACCTCAATATCTTTTTAATCTGTTTTTCAAAATTAATACACTTTTACATGATCACATAATTTAGCTATTCTCAATTCAAACTGGGCTTCAAGCTCTAATGCAGAAGTTTTGATAGAATTAAGAAAAAAAATAGATTCTATCACAAGTTATTAACAACAATCCCTATATGTTGCCCACTAAGTTGTGTTTGGATTTTCGATTTGTTTTCACTTTTCTATTTGTGCAAATCCAAAATCCAAACAATTGAATAAGGAACAATTTACAGACTGTTTTTCAATACTAAAACCTAGATGATCACCGTAAGGGCCCTAATAATCTATGTTCACTTTTTCTTCATAATAATAATAAAAAGAAACAAATAATTAATTAATGAAAATAAAAATATTGCCTAGTTGGATTGTCTTTGCAAACAGTAATCCTTAGATTGATCACATTATTGTCTCCCCATTGAAGACATGCTTTGATGGTCAGTTTGACATTTTTTTAAATTTGTTTATTATTTATTATTTGAGTTTACTCAAGGGTAATTTAGAAAATATTATAAGGTGTACTGAGAGTAATATAAAATTTTAAATAATTAAACAGAGTGTATAGAAATTGAAAGTACTTAATCATTTTTTGAGTGTAAATAGAAACCCCACATTAGCAATTGCCAATCAACTAAATCATTTGGAATTTAATTAATTCTAAAACGTATAATTTATGGGCCTGGGCACAATCCTATCATATCCTCTAATGAAAGTTCAAGATATCTTAGCTAGCCTTATTCTAGCCTTGAAATGGGTCGGGCTTAGCTTTTGTAAATAAGAGATCCAAGACCCCCAGAATGGCTTAATATTGGAATTAGTCCAACTTTTAGCCCAAGTCATTTTACCCAACCCAACCCAACCCACAAATTGTTCAGCAATCAATGGTTACAGGTTCAATATAATAAATGGGACCCTCAAGTCCCTAAAACGGATGAGCATCACAACTTCGGCCCTAAACAAGCCATGTTGAGGGAGAAGTTATTTGGTAGTCAGGCATGTGGTGTTTTAATGAATAATGCTTGGGACCCCTTTTTGGGGTCACCTCCTCACCCCCCTTTGCTACGTGACGGGTGGTGATTGGAGGATTAGGAAAAAAAAGAAAAAGAAAAAGAAAAAGAAAATGTAACCAATGAGAGAGAGAGAGGGGGTCAAAGGGGGTGGGGGAAAAGGGGGGATGAATCATTGTTGTGTTTTAATTTCGTAGAAGTTACTGAAATATCTTTTCGAAATCAGACTACATAACCCGAAAAAACAAATTTTTTTTTTAAAAAAATAATAAAATCCAAAATTTGAATTCAACAAATAAAATTTACTAAAGTTGTATTTAGTTGAGAGATTTTGAGAGAAATTTAAAAGAAGAAAGGAAATTAGTGTGTGAAGTTTGTTGAAATGTAAGTATATTTTATTCATATTCACTTCCCTTTCTTCTTCTTCTTCTTCTTCTTTCTTTTTTTTCTTTTTTTTTTTTTTTTTACTAAAATCTGCAATCAAACATAGCCTCAAGATTTGACCCACAACAAAATGTTTAACACAGACCAAACTTTTTTTTGGCATAATTTACACCAAACCTTTGACATTTTACACCTTGTAGGCTTAAGTGCATTTATCTATGGCGAGCTAAGTTTTGGGTCTAGGCTAGATTCTTTCACAAAATTGAATTTATTATGGGTGCAATTTTCACTAATAGATTTCAAAATTTGTAAAAAATTTTTGGACACCACAGGAAAATTTTATTTCCACACACTTGATTAACTTGGTGCACATTTTTTCTCTAATTTTTTTTTATTACATTTCTATCCTTCAATCAAATTACACATCCCTTCCTCCCTCCCTCCCTTCCTCCCAATTCAACCCTAACCTTTGCCATTTCCGACCATCGGCAGGCACCTCCCTCCCTTTCGATCATCATTACTGGATTAAATTAGACATGTGCTAGACAAATATATTTAGGAGGCATACATTTGTATGACCACATTTTCACAATTTTTTTTTTCTTTTTCAGGTTGTTATTCCAGCATTATCCAGGGATGCCTTTTGTCTTACAATTTATGGAAGCAACACGACATATTGAATGAATGCTGTGCAAACTTTTAAATTGCTTGATGAATTCTAGTCAACTTTTGCAAAGAAATTTTGAACTTTTTGATAGTTATGCATCTTTTTTTTTTCCTCCAGGCTTTGCGTTTATATTTTTAGCGAACTTTTTTGTGGAATGCTCCCGTGGATTATTTTTGAACACTATAGAAATTAATGACGATATATAGTAGTATCAATTTTTACTTGGCTTGATAGAATTACATTCCATTATGTTATTGCTAGTGCTTTTACTGCGACACATCAAATTTTAAATTTAAACTGAAATTTATTTTGTTTTATTTCTTGTATTTTACTTTGAAAATGCCTTTTTTTGATTCAATCTACACTTTGATGATTATACATCTAATGTAATACGACATGCCAGGCTTAAATTGTTATGGGAGTAAGAATTGTTAGGGTTAGGATTTGTTGGAGAAGATGAGGGTAATTTAGTATTATCTGAAAATTATTAGTGTGTATTGAGACAAAATTAAAAGTTTTTTGTGTATGGTGTGAACTGAGTAAATGGTGTACACTAAGATAAATAATGATGTGTAAATAGAATTACCCCACATTCAATATTAAAATTAAGGGTAAATTACTAATAAATCCTAATAGTTGGATTTAATTCCTATTATATCATATTGAAAGTTAATTAGTTTTAGTAAAATTATTGTTAAAAATAATTTTTTGTGACAACTTTTTACATACGCCGTTAAAAATTAACAAATAGTAACTTTTTTTGTTACGATTTTTATAAATTATGGCTAAAACTTACAATTAGTGATTTTTCTGTGACTTTTTTTAATAGTTTAATGAAAAATGCTGTTAATTATCAAAAGACCTATTAGACAATAAATTTACCTATTAAGACCTACACATAAATGCCCCTAAAATTAATCTTACCCCATCCCAGCTACCGCCTACCACCACAATCCCCTTTAAATTTAATATGTATATTATTTATCAATAAGTCTTCTTGCCCAGAAAATATGGTTCGATTCTTATCCAAAAAATAAATTTGTAGTAAAAATTGAATTAATGTGTTGTGGGGTCTATACTTGAATAAATCTGAACCACATATTAATGTTTTGAATAAAATTTGAAGTAAAAATTTTGAGTGTTTAACATTATTGATTATTTACATACTCAAAATGTATGTAAACAAAATCAAACTCTTGCATCGACGCTTAGCTAGCTAGTTGAGTAAGATTTGTTCATGGGAGTATAGTTCATATTAGGGTAGGTGTTTAAAGAAAAAAAAAACAAAGAAAGAAAAAGGTGGGGGACTAAAAGAAAGAAAAAGGTGGGGGACTAAAAGAAAAAAATTAGGGAAGGGGAATGTAAGTGGTGGGGGGTGGAGGTTAGGGTATAGTTGTGATTAAGATAGGCGTTCAAAAAAGAAAAGAGAAATAAAGAAAGATTTAGATGGATCGGGGTTTAAAGAAAAAGGAAAATTTTTAATTCAGTGTAAATTTTAAAAAATAATTACAAATAAGTGATAAATTTCATAAATTTTAATAACTATAATTATAATCTTTTTTATGAATCTGTAATAACTTTACAAAAATACCAGAGTGTGGTAATTTTTCTAGAAAAAAAATGTGGAGTTCTATGCTAGACATAAAGGTGGTAGATCTGCATTAATGAATATAAGTGAAACCTATTATTTTGTGTTTATTGAAAAGCAAATTATTTAAAAAACTCCCCCTAATTATTTATAAGTGTGCAAAACAAAGTCAAGACATACAAATCACCCACATATTGTTTCCATCATCCTAAGAATGCAGTCTTCAACAACTTCCATAAAATTGAGCAGATTTTCGTTAGATAATTTTGCTGTTAACCTATGCAAAATTCTTGGTATTTCAGGACTAGTCCTCTACTTAGCATACCTGTTATTTTTCAGCCAATCCAGCTGCCCATCTTCCGAATTCTTCACCCCCTTCCAACACATATGGCCAGCATCACCTCCTTCTCAACAACTTAATAGCCTCACTCATACCAATCATTCCTCTCCCACCAACCTTAACCACCTTGTTTTTGGCATTGTAGGATCTGTCAATGCATGGAGACATCGAAAGGCCTACACCGAGTCATGGTGGCGCCCCAACGCAACACGTGGATACCTCTTCCTCGACACACACCCCACCGATGACCTCCTCCCTGGCCGCCCTCTTCTCCTCCTCTTTGCGTGTCCAATGACATATCCAAAATTGTGGAAGAGTCAAAGCATGTCGCTCCAATCATGGTTCACATGGTGCATGCGAGTTGTTTAGGGAGGGTGATGAGGGGGTGAGGTGGTATGTGATGGGGGATGACGATTCTCTCTTTTTTGTGGACAATTGGGTTGATGTTTTGGAAAAATATGATCACAATAAGTATGTTTACATTGGGGGACATTCAGAGTTTTTTATGTCTAATATTTGGTTCTCATTTGATCAAGGATTTGGTGGAGCTGGATTTGCTTTGAGTTATCCTCTTGTTGCAGCAATGGTGAAAGATTTAGAAGGGTGTCTAAGAAGATATCCATATTTGAACTCAGCAGATTTGATTACTCAGTACTGTGTAGATGAGTTGGGAGTTCCTCTATCTGCTGAGAGAGGGATTCGTCACGTAAGTCTTAATTTTTTACATTCACTAGCTAAGGTCTCATTTGGAAACATAATTTTAAAGTTAAAAATATAAAAACAAAATTAGAAAAAAAATTTAAAAAATTATTTAAAAAGTCAAAAAGTCACTAAGGTGCGGAGTAATACAATGCAGATTGATCTATACGGTGATATATTGTTTTTTTGTCATCCCATCCACAATCTCCAATACTTTCCCTCCATTTTGACCAGATAGAACCTATCTTTCCCACCATGAACCGTTCCCAATCTGCAAACCACCTCATGAAAGCTGCGAAAACCGACCAGTCCCGTATGCTGCAACAAACCATCTGCTACCAAAAACAAACCAACTGGTCTTTTTCCATTTCATGGGGCTACTCTGCCCATATTTATGAGAAAGTGTTGCCAAGAAGTGTTTTGAAGAGACCACTTGAGACATTTTTGCCATGGTTAGATCTCAAACACCGACCATACTACATGTTCAACACACGGTGGCCACCTTTTGTTGATTCGTGTGAAGCTCCTCATGTATTCTTCTTCGAATCCATTGATAGTTCCATTGATAGTTTTGAAGGGCACAACCAAATTGTTATGACTTATGTTCGATCCAAGCCACGGGGTTTACCAACTTGTTCATTGAGTGGGAGTCGTTCTGCTGATTCTATCTCCAAAGTTCGGGTCTTCTCGCTGGCGACAAAGCTCCCTTTTAGCTAAAATGTGACGTAAAAAAAATTAGTATGTTTGTGATGACTTTTTGACTTTTTACGAAAAAATGTGTAAAAAGTAGAGAGAAAATGGAATATTTGACTTTTTGGTATGAGTTGTCGGTTTTTTGATTTTTTTAGTGACTTTTTAACTTTTTGGCTAAAAAAGTCACTTGCCAAACGAGGCCTAAAGTTGTGTTCAGTTGGGAGATTTTGAGAGAAATTTAAAAGGAGAAAGGAAAATAATATTTGAAGTTTGTTAAAATGTAGGTATATTTTATTCACATTCACATTCACATTCACATTCACATTGACTTCCCTTTTTTTTTTTTCCAAATTATTTTCTAAATTCTGCAATCAAACATAGCCTAAAGATTTGACCCACAACAAAATGTTTAACACAGACCAAACTTTTTTTTTGACATTTTACACCTTGTAGGCTTAAATGCATTTACCTATGGCGAGCCAAGTTTTGGGTCTAGGCTAGATTCTCTCACAAAATTGAATTTATTATGGGTGCAATTTTCATTAATAGATTTCAAAATTTGTAAAAATTTTTTAGACACCACATTCAATATTAAAATTAAGGGTAAATTACTAATAGATCCTAATAGTTGGATTTAATTCCTATTAAATCATATTAAAAGTTAATTAGTCTTAGTAAAATTATCGTTAAAAATAATTTTTTGTGACAACTTTTTACATACGTCGTTAAAAATTAACAAATAGTAACTTTTTTGTTACGATTTTTATAAATTATGACTAAAACTTACAATTAGTGATTTTTCTGTGACTTTTTTTAATAGTTTAATGAAAAATGCTGTTAATTATCACAAGACCTATTAAACAATAAGTTTACCTATTAAGACCTACACATAAATGCCCCTAAAATTAATCTTACCCCATCCCAGCTACCGCCTACCACCACAATCCCCTTTAAATTTAATATGTATATTATTTATCAATAAGTCTTCTTGCCCAGAAAATATGGTTCGATTCTTATCCAAAAAATAAATTTGTAGTAAAAATTGAATTAATGTGTTGTGGGGTCTATACTTGAATAAATTTGAACCACATATTAATGTTTTGAATAAAATTTGAAGTAAAAATTTTGAGTGTTTAACATTATTGATTATTTACATACTCAAAATGTATGTAAACAAAATCAAACTCTTGCATTGACGCTTAGCTAGCTAGTTGAGTAAGATTTGTTCATGGGAGTATAGTTCATATTAGGGTAGGTGTTTAAAGAAAAAAAAAACAAAGAAAGAAAAAGGTGGGGGACTAAAAGAAAAAAATTAGGGAAGGGGAATGTAAGTGGTGGGGGTGGAGGTTAGGGTATAGTTGTGATTAAGATAGGCGTTCATAAAAAAAGAAAAGAGAAATAAAGAAAGATTTAGATGGATCGGGGTTTAAAGAAAAAGGAAATTTTTTAATTCAGTGTAAATTTTAAAAAATAATTACAAATAAGTGATAAATTTCATAAATTTTAATAACTATAATTATAATCTTTTTTATGGATCTGTAATAACTTTACAAAAATACCAGAGTGTGGTAATTTTTCTAGAAGAAAAATGTGGAGTTCTATGCTAAAGGTGGTAGATCTGCATTAATGAATATAAGTGAAACCTATTATTTTGTGTTTATTCAAAAGAAAATTATTTAAAAAACTCCCCCTAATTATTTATAAATATGTGTGCAAAACAAAGTCAAGACATACAAATCACCCACATATTGTTTCCGTCAACCTAAGAATGCAGTCTTCAACAACTTCCATAAAATTGAGCAGATTTTCGTTAGATAATTTTGCTGTTAACCTATGCAAAATTCTTGGTATTTCAGGACTCAACAATGCTAGGTATCATGAAAATTTTGTCATGAAAATAATCATGAAAGTTTTGTGACCCTTAGATTACACTTAGAATAAAGTACCACACACTAATCAAGATAATCCAAGGATCATAAATTTTTCATGATCATTTTCATGACAAAATTTTCATGATCCCTAACTTTTCCCTTCAAGACTAGTCCTCTACTTAGCATACCTGTTATTTTTCAGCCAATCCAGCTGCCCATCTTCCGAATTCTTCACCCCCTTCCAACACATATGGCCAGTGTCACCACCTTCTCAACAACTTAATAGCCTCACTCATACCAATCATTCCTCTCCCACCAACCTTAACCACCTTGTTTTTGGCATTGTAGGATCTGTCAATGCATGGAGACATTGAAAGGCCTACACCGAGTCATGGTGGCGCCCCAACACAACACGTGGATACCTCTTCCTCGACACACACCCCACCGATGACCTCCTCCCTGGCCGCCCTCTTCTCCTCCTCTTCGCGTGTCCAATGACATATCCAAAATTGTGGAAGAGTCAAAGCATGTCGCTCCAATCATGGTTCGCATGGTGCATGCGAGTTGTTTAGGGAGGGTGATGAGGGGGTGAGGTGGTATGTGATGGGGGATGACGATTCTCTCTTTTTTGTGGACAATTGGGTTGATGTTTTGGAAAAATATGATCACAATAAGTATGTTTACATTTGGGGACATTCAGAGTTTTTTATGTCAAATATTTGGTTCTCATTTGATCAAGGATTTGGTGGAGCTGGATTTGCTTTGAGTTATCCTCTTGTTGCAGCAATGGTGAAAGATTTAGAAGGGTGTCAAAGAAGATATCCATATTTGAACTCAGCAGATTTGATTACTCAGTACTGTGTAGATGAGTTGGGAGTTCCTCTATCTGCTGAGAGAGGGATTCATCAGGTAAGTCTTAATTTTTTACATTCACTAGCTAAGGTCTCATTTGGAAACATAATTTTAAAGTTAAAAATATAAAAAAAAAATTAGAAAAAAAATTTAAAAAATTATTTGAAAAGTCAAAAAGTCACTAAGGTGCGGAGTAATACAATGCAGATTGATCTACACGGTGATATATCAGGTTTTTTGTCATCCCATCCACAATCTCCAATACTCTCCCTCCACCATTTTGACCAGATAGAACCTATCTTTCCCACCATGAACCGTTCCCAATCTGCAAACCACCTCATGAAAGCTGCGAAAACCGACCAGTCCCCTATGCTGCAACAGACCATCTGCTACCAAAAACAAACCAACTGGTCCTTTTCCATTTCATGGGGCTACTCTGCCCATATTTATGAGAAAGTGTTGCCAAGAAGTGTTTTGAAGAGACCACTTGAGACATTTTTGCCATGGTTAGATCTCAAACACCGACCATACTACATGTTCAACACACGGTGGCCGCCTTTTGTTGATTCGTGTGAAGCTCCTCATGTATTCTTCTTTGAATCCATTGATAGTTCCATTGATAGTTTTGAAGGGCACAACCAAATTGTTATGACTTATGTTCGATCCAAGCCACGGGGTTTACCAACTTGTTCATTGAGTGGGAGTCGTTCTGCTGATTCTATCTCCAAAGTTCGGGTCTTCTCGCTGGCGACAAAGCTCCCTGAGGTGAGTTTGAAACATGTTTCATATATATGCGGTTTGTTATACTTCAGTTCTCCATTTTTAATTTTTAATTTTGATTATTGAAATATACGATCTATTACACTTTAATTCTTAACTTGAATGCCATTCAAAACCAATAACAACAGAAGGGGGTATTTTTAGAATTTTACATAAAAGAAAAATAATTATATTTGGGAAACATCATCTTCATCAACACATCATCATCAACACAACAACAACATCTTCATCAAGCAAATCTTATTAATTTCTCAAATTCTTTTCAACAACAACATCTTCATCAACACATCATCATCAACACAACAACATTTTCATCAACATCATTATCAACGACATCTTCATCATCAACAACATCATCATCATCAACATCCATCGATTTTGTAAAATTCATCAACAACAACATCTTCATCATCATCATCAACAACATCACCACCATCAACATCCA